CATCCTTCCTTACATTAAAAATGCGGCAAGTTGACAAAATATGCCAAATAAAATCGATTGCACTCATGCTGAACTTTTTATTTTTGCTTTATCAGTCCCCACCACACATGATATAAATTAAGAAACAAATAATCGATATGTTCAAATCGATTCACATTGTGTCTTTTGTCAGTTTCGTTTTATTTATCTTTGATAACAGCTTGATTTCACACTGTATTTTTGGTACAGCTATGGAATTTTCAGCATTTTGCAGACCGACAATAGATAGCAGCAGGTAAGTGTCAGCAGGGGATCGAACCACGGACCATGTGCATAATCGGCGAAAGTCATATCCGCTGTGCCACCGACGCACAGTTCTTTAACCTTGAACGACTATATCACCTGTATTCGCTACACATCGCAAAAGAACCTGTCCTTTGTTAAGAAGTCAATCGCAAATTCCAGTACAGCACTCCCAAGTTTTTCAATAGTCCTGTAATCCATATGTCAGCTCGTGATGAAATCCCGAAACCAATCAAATCAAATCCCTGAAAACCAACGCTTGATTTGAATTTTTTATAGTTTGGTTTGTAAAGGTTAGTTTCGTTTTTACGAGTTGATCACGGATTGATATCACAGTTAGAGAACCATTGAAAACCATCACTGGACTACTGGACAGCTGAGTTTCGGAATCATCGGCAGTATGCACCCACCACAATCAGTTCGAACCCAGGACCTTCCGGTTACAAGGCCAGCCAGCTCGTATACCATTCAGCCACCGGGACCCGACTCGTCAATGGCCAGTCCATGAATTCTAACCTCTACCGGAAAGTCCTGGGTTCGAATCTCAGTGGGTATGTACTGCCGATGATTCCCAAACTTGATTTGAATATGAATCTCATGCTCACCAGCAACTGGCCTTATTCAGGTAGGTAGTTGATTAGTTAGTTACCTGGGTGGTTCTAGTGTGAAGTCGTGACCAGTGTGCGCGGTACAACAGGTCGGGTGTGAGGACAAACACTTGCACCAGGGATGAATGACACTGGCCACAGGCATTTGCGCTTTGTTGTGCGTGAACTGGTAGAAGTTGGAATTCATAGCCTGGTTAATGGATCGGTCTGGTGCTAGTGGCTTAATGGTCTACGAGCTCGGTTCGAACAATGTAAGTGGGTGCGTAGTGATGAAGAGACCCAAGCCACCAAGGAAGAAACAGCTGTCAATTCACGATAAAATCCTGTCATCAATCAAATCCCCGGAAAACAACACTTGAATCGCAAAGACGTTGAAAAGTCAGTTTAAAGAAAAAATGGAGACACTGAGGACATCGTTGATAGGACACACATCTCATCACTTCAGATGACTATTCCCCTATAATCTCTTACATAATTGACCGACAAATTTCGCGAGATAATATCTCGTCATTTCGTAGTTTCTTTACAACCGGCTTTACAACTATCAACATGGTTAACAATAATAAAATAAAACAGAGTGCATGACAATTACTCAGTTATATAAAAAAACAAAAGTACAATACTAATGACCAATCATATTTAAATAGGTCATGTAGTTCATGGTAGCCGAAGATTGAAGTCTATTGTACCAAAGAAAGCTATCTTTATTAACCCACCTACCATTCATGGGTGACCAGATTATACAGTTGACAGCTCAAAGACACTCCAGTCAGCCATCAAACGTACATTCTACGCCGCCACATCTATTTTACCCTCACATGCCAAACATTTTTGATCCCTGTGCCTACCTTTGATTAAAGGACGAAATTCTGTGGACTCTACACCCCTCAAACTGTATCTACAAGTTCACCTACAGTTGTTGCGGTGACACACATACCTCTATATAGGTAGGACCAACAGATTGTTCCAATGTCGTGTGGTCGGAAAGAACATGTTCCGAAATGGTTACTTAATCATATCGAAAATCCCAATGCGATTAACCTGAATAGAAATCCAGCATCATCCATTCCATTGCAAAACACTTATTAATGTCAGGTCACAAAATCAATATTAATTAATGACTGTTTCACAGTTATTTCACTCCATAACTCTAATTCAAGTTTGGTTATTGAAGGTGATGGGAGCACTTTAGGGGATTAATCACATACAGCCTAAACTGTATGTACAAAAAACAATAGACTTCAATCTTCGCATACCATGGACTGACTACATGACCTATTTAAATATGATTGGTCATTAGTAGTATGTACTTTTGTTTTTTTAATTTAACTGAGTAATTGTCATGATAGCGTTATTAGAAGACGGAGATTATCTGATTTGCGCAAATCAACCATCCAGCTCAGAGAATACAACCACATCAAAATTATATCCACCTGAGCTACAAATCTTCTCTGTCAGATCACATATTTACTTGTCAAATCAATATATATATATATATATATGTATATATATATATATATATATATATATGTATATATATATATATATATGGAAAAGTTGAATTAAACAGTGACAAAAAAGAATTAAGAATAATTAACACAACGTTTGTTTAATTCAACTTTCCCACATATATATTGACTTGACAAGTAAATGTGTGATCAGATTGTTCGAAATGTATAGCGCAAATACATCACATCACATTGTTTTTCAGATAATCTCCGTCTTCTAATAACGCTATCGAAATTTATAAAAGGGACTAATTGTTTTAAATAATTGTCATGATCTTTATTTTATTATTGTTAACCATGTTAGTTGTAAAGAAACAACTACGAAATGACGAGATATTTATCCCACAAAATTTGTCTTCTAAATGTCTTATTCAAATATAGAATAAGCAATTAATTGTTGAAGGTTAAGTGAATGAAATCCAGTTAAATTCATGAACTTCTTCGGTTTCCTACACTTCTAACATGCTGAGTAAAAATGAGAATCTCAGTCCATGTCCATTGCTTCTACGTCTAGGCAAAGCATTTCACTGAAAGTGTCAGATGAAATCTTCCTCTGAAATGTCTCCGAATGGAGATCGACAACCTAATTCCCTACTGAAATGGAACTCACATGAAGGGCGGAAAAAGTTCTCCAAAGGGATTGAATAAATGCTATTCGAATTCGTGATCATGGAGTACACAAGATACAATTATATTAGTAGACAGAAGACAAGTAGGTCAGCGAAGAGTCTCTTTTCGGAGAATTCATTTTCATATCTGTACAATCCCAATTATATATGTATGGTCGTTTTGTATGTGTGTGTGTGTGTGCACTAAATTTGTCAAACGAAAATACAATTAGTGAGTTCAGATGAATTAGATGTTGGTAAGAGGATAGTAACAAAAGTGATGAGTTGTCATAAATGATTGTTAAATAAGAGTTACGTAATAGCATGAATAGTTTGATGAATGAGTTGTGCTCAAAGGGTGTACATGGGAACAAAATAATATACAGGGCTTCAGAAGCCCTAGCCATCCAGCTGGTGGAACCAGAACTATGCATACAAAAGAAAATTATCCACCCACTTCTACTCGCATGGTAACAACTCCGTTGATTTGACCTAACTTTTCTTTGTTTGTTTTGACCTTACTTCTGTTTGTATGCTTTTTTTTTAACTTAAAACCCTTGTGTAATTCTGTATATTATTTTGTTTCCATGTACACCCTTTGGGCACAACTCATTCATCAAACTATTCATGCTATTACGTAACTCTTATTTAACAATCATTTATGACAACTCATCACTTTTGTTACTATCCTCTTACCAACATCTAATTCATCTGAACTCACTAATTGTATTTTCGTTTGACAAATTTAGTGCACACACACACACACATACAAAACGACCATACATATATAATTGGGATTGTACAGATATGAAAATGAATTCTCCGAAAAGAGACTCTTCGCTGAACTACTTGTCTTCTGTCTACTAATGTCCGAATGGGAATTATTCATGAATACAATTATATGATAATACTTGTATATATTTTCCAAACCCCCCTCCTCCTCCGATGTACTTCTCCTTCGTCAACCACATGACACTAAGTAAGCCAAATCAGAAAAACAATTACATCATTCTAAATCCGAAGTATATTACGGGGTCGGTAATGTACTGTATTGTCTAGCAAGGATGTGTGCTAAGCTAACTAGACATTGTGCAATAGCAGTGGAGTGTTAATCGATAGTGTATCAAATGACCTAAGTACTTCACTATGTACCTTTTGAGTGTAACCGTGGACCGCTTAGTTATGCGTAGACTAAGCGGTCCACAGAAGGAACAAACACGAGAGAACCAAAGAGGCTTTACACCAGGATCATATTTTCACACTTCGATAGATTCTCGAACAGAGACATACTTACCGGAGCCTAACAATCATTACATTTTTGATGTAGTTGTGTTCTCTGAGCTGAATAGTTGATTTGCGAAGCTTTCATCACCCTACTAGGTGACATCTTCATATCTAAATCATTATATTTCTTGACCTGAAGGCGGAATTCGATCCTGTCGACTGAAAGGCACTATGGCGGTGTCTGACTGTGAAGGGAATGCTAAGAAAACACATTGAACTGATCAAGGCACTCACTCCACTCGAACTCATGCAGCCAGGTGAGGGGCTTACGGCGAGTTGTCATCTGAAGTGGTAATAATTAGTGGTGTCCGTGAGAGATGCCCATTATCCCCATTTCTATTCAATTTCATCATAGATATTGTACTAATGGACTTAATCCTAAGCGACTTCAGAGACTCAGGGATTGACTTGTTACCGTCAGGAAATAATCTCGTTGACTTCGAATATGCAGATGATATAGTCCTTCTAGGCGAGGACGGTGACAAAATACAAGCAGAGTCTTCTGAACACCTTGAGCAGTGAGTTATCCACGAATGTTTGGCATACGATTCGCTCCTGCTGTCAAATGTGAGATGATGTTACAGGACTGGACTACACTGACTCCTAGTTTAGAAATAGGGAGTGAAGTGATAAAGCGCGTTGAACCTTATTTGGGAAGTTGCATCAGCCAACGCCAGCAGGTTGATTCCTGACGAAATCGCAGCACAGATACAGAGGGCTAGTTTCGCATATACTAGTTTACGCCGTTTCTGGCGTAGACGTGATATCCGGCTAGTTGTCGACCAAAGGGAGTGTGTACTGCTCAGCAGCACTTTCCTTCAATCCTCCTTTACGGCTGTGACTGACTGAGACCTGGGTCAATGAAAGTGGAAGACATGAAAAGGCTTTACAACTAACTTGTAAAGAGATTGTAAAGAAACTATGGAATGACAAGATATTATCTCTCACGAAAATTGTCTTCTAAAAAACGCCTTATTCAAATTTATCAAAAGGGGACTAATTGTTTTAATAATTCACTGAGTTCATGAATGAGTAGAATGCCTTGTATAGATATATATATGCGTGTATATATATCATCTGAACGTATAATTTGTCGATAGTAGAAGTGAGTTACACACAATACAATAGCGATATTACAAAAGAGACAAAGGGAAAAAAAGGACTATTAATAGTGGAAGAAAAGAAATTGAGTAATTTAGCACAAGAAAAAAAATACTTCACACACACAAACAAAACAGACAGAAAGAGAAATAAAAAAAAGAAAACAAGAGTTATTGATACCCTCTGTGTTTTTCTTTATTCACCTTTTGTTATCTATGTACACACATACACATGTGTATGTGAATATTCTCTGCGTGTTGTTGACACAATCAAAACTCTGTATCTGTGTGTGTGCGTGTGTGTGTGGACAACAGAAAGGAGATAATAACAGACGATGGATAGATGGATGGATGTGTGGAACGGCACATCCAAGGAGAGATTAAGACAAGACAAGACAAGGGGGGATGGGATAAGAAGCAAATAAGGAAAAAACAAAGAAAAAAGAGAAGAAAATGCACACACACAGGGAAGAAAATTGTTATCGCTTTCTGTCGGCGTCCGCGTTGTCGTAGTTGTTGTCTAAAGGAAGTGAGATAGAATTGGAGTTGGAACTGAAACCATATATATATAGACACAATCAAGAACAAATGATATCAAAATGTAACACTGAATAGCCCCGGTCCCGCTTCACCCTCCCCCATTCAGGAACACGACACATCAATAAAAAGTGACCAAGGTTACGCAAAAAAAACAACAACAAAAAAACATAAAGAAAACAACAAAATATTAACAGATTCAGAGTTAGCTAGCTAGCCAACCAGTCAGCTAGCTTGTCGTCAATGTCTGCACAGTCACGAGGAACTTGATGAATTAATTAGTCAGTGGTCGGAAAGAGATGTGTGTGACACAGCAGGAGGTGGTGCTGCGGTGATAAACCAGTGTAATGATGATGATGATGATGATGATAAGGATGATGACATAACCATAAAAAGAAGGAGTAGAAGTAAGCGCATAAGTAAACGAACTTCCTGATGTGGTGGTAATTGTGTATATGTATGCATGTATGTAGGTAGGTGAGTGTGTGTGAGTGTACACATGAATAAATGGGACGTTGTCAATGAGCGAACAGCAGGAGAGAGAGAACAAGTGAGTGAGTGAGTGAGTCTGTGAGTAGTATAAAATAATAAACGTGAACAACCAACAGTTAGCAATGTTATTTAAAAAAATGGGAGGAGAATGACGGGGTGGTCGGGAAAGTTAATCGTATTATTTAGCCACCTTTTAAAAAAAAGAGGAGACACATAGAGAGACAGGAATGTGGATATATATATAAAAAAAGAACGAATTTTGTGGTGGTTTGTTCTAATTTCAGTGGTTGTGCTGTGACGCGATAAATCATCATTGTCATCATAATAAGAATAGTAGTAATAAATAATAGTGATAATATTAACAACGGCATTGCATTTGAGAATATGAATGGTCGGTGGTCTGTCTGTCACTTGATATTTTACGTAACATCTACAGAATAGAATAGAATTTTTAAAAAAAAAAACAATAAGGCAAATTTTAGGAGTAAGAAGTGAAAAATACAGATTTATAACAATGTAGTGGTGGTACATTCTACTTGAAAAATGCTTTTATTTCAATATTACACAATAGTTGCACCAGTACCATTATGCAATTATATTCCCCAGTCTCTCTCTCCCTCTCTTTCCCTTAACTGATACCCAATTTATCATAAAGATATCAAGTAGGGACTATAGTTGTGATTTGGATATGGCGGAGGGTTTCCAAAGGAAATTAGGGTGATCTCTCTCCTATAGGTGTGTATCCTGTCCGTCTGTTTTCGACATAAAACTTTGCACCGATGTGCACCAGTTCAAGTCCCCACACTTCCTCTTTGTAGCACACAAAACAAGAGAAGAAAATAGAAGAAATGTATAACAGAGACAGTAAACAGAGGTGTGAGACAAAGGAACAGTAATAACGAAGAACAATATAGTTTCATTGAGTATTATAAGTCACAAGGAGTGAATGCATCTCCGCCAGCCATTGAAAACGATCTTAAAACATATCACCAATTGTTTCCAGCCATTGGTTTTTACCGTCCCGAGGACCCCAACCACTCAGGAACTCTACAACTTCCTACGTGACTTATACTAACTGTTGTCGATTTCATTGGCTGGTAACATGTTTTGGTTTGACCGCCGCTAGCTAACTCTTTTCCAGCCTGTCAGTCGAGGAAGGCAATGACTAGGCATGCGTACGTAAAACATGTCTTAACCATCTCATTCGATGTAATTTCACAACCTCGTCGATTGATTTCCTCTCCCACCTACCTAGCACTCGACTCACGCTAACCTCAATATTGCTCACCTCATTATACCACTTAATACACACGGGAGATACAACGCAGGCACCCATAATCAAAGACAGCTAATCTTTAAATGTCTTCCACTCTCAATGGCCACATCTCAGTCACAGCCATAAAGGAGGACGGAGCGAACTGCTGCGCTAAGCAGTACACCCGCCCTTTGATCGACAACTAGCCGGATATCACGTCTACGCCAGAGACGGCGTAAACTGGCAAATGAGAAACGAGCCCTCTCTATCCGTACTCAGCTGAGATTTCGTCAGACATCAACCCGTTGGCACTGGCTGATGGTATTTCCCAAATAAGTGAAGCGGTCAACACGCTCAACCAACCACTTCACCCCCTATTTCTAAACTAGGAGTCAGTGTAGTACAGTACAGTCCTGTAACATCATCTCACATTTGACAGCAGAAGCGAATCACATGTCAAACATTCGTAGATTGCAGCTCAGTTCAAGGTGTTCAGAAGACTCTGTTTCATTTTGTCAGCGTCCTCGCCTAGAAGGACTATATCGTCTGCATATTCTGAGTCAACGAGATTATTCCATCCCTGGTAGCAAGTCAATCCCTGAGTCTCTGAAGTCGCTTAGGGTTAAGTCCATTAGTACAATATCTATGATGAAATTGAACAGAAATGGATGTAGTGAGCATCCCTGACGGCACCACTAGTCGTCACCACTTCAGATGACAACTCGCCGTAAGCCATGAGCTGGCTGACCGAATGAGTTCGAATAGAGTGAATGCCTTAATCAGTGCAATGTATTTTCTCGGCGTTTCCATTACGAGCAGTAGAATGGTAGTCCGGTGCTTAGGTCACTTTGTAATGACTAGCAAACACACTACTGGTTTCTTACTACTCATTCTATCTTATTCTTATTCCTCTTTTTCTTTGTGTATTATTACTCCCTGGGGTTCCGCGTGTGGAACATAGGGCTGGCTTCAACAACACATCTCCACTTTGCTCTATTTTCTGATGGCCTCTTCAGCTAACTCACCACCACCCTACGATTGCTTCTGTCTTCCTTCTGCTGTACTGTACTTTTCATCTGCATCCATGTTAGTCCATACTCTTTCAACTCCTCTTCACACGACCTCATCCATGTCACCCTTGCAACTGACGACCAACTCGCCGCTTCCCTTTCGGTCTGGTTCCACTCGAGCAATGGCCTGACGCACGCGCGATGTCACCCAGTGGCCTCCTCAGTGAGTGTCCAATCCATCCCAATCCACTTTCTCCTGCATATTTGTTGTTGGTGGGCGATTGGTTCTTGTTTTGTTTGTTCTTTCCCATAGTTTCTTGTTGGTGATTCTTTCCGGCCCGGCCATCTGATCGATCTTCAGTATAGAGCGAAGACAGTTGTTGGTTGATAAATGTCTGCAACAGGCTGTTGGAAAAATACTTTGTGACCCACCGACCAAGTAAGTTTCTGATACGTATAGAAGAACTGACTGACTTGACGTTGTTTGTATTGAAAATCCGACCGAATTTCGTTGTTGATGCTTTGTTGAGTGACGAAGATTTCCAGATTGGTTTCAGGTTGATCAATGTGATTCTCGACTTTCCGATTCTCGCTCAATTTGACATCCTCATCCGTTCCGACTGCTTGTAGTTGAGACAATGCTCCCTAGATAAGTGAGTGAATGAAGTAACCTCATTCAAATCCCTCCCGTTGATGGTGATTGGCGGTGGGTGGATGTTGCTGCTCTTGTTGTTGGTTGGTTGGTTATTTTCATAACCTCCATCTTGTCTATGTTCACTTGTAGTCCTGTCTTCGCCGGCTGCTTCTTCGACCAGTTTGTCAGTCAGTTTTCGCTTGTAAGTCTTCGATTTTGTGACAGTGACATCAAACATCAATCATCCACGCGCGAAATCTAGGTCTTCTAGGTTCTTCACGTTGGTCCAGGATATACCTGTCTGCTCGTTTCCCACTCACTGTCTGACGCATAATCCAGTCTATATATATATATATATATATATATATATATATATTATGTCAGTTTCGTCACTAACCAATATCATTTAGCAGTGACAATCATTGTAAACCAAGGAGTACTCGACAGTTAGTAAGTGTGACTGACTCACTCCATCCATAAGTGTCCATCACCGCACCGGGAATCGAACCCAGGAACCTTTAAACAAGTTCAGAGGCCAGCTAGTCGACTATCAAAACCACGGGTTAGGGACAAAATAGAGATGGATTAAGCATACGCCACTGAGGAGGCCATCGAATAACATTGCACACAATGTAAGCAATAGCTTAAATGAAACCCAAATGAGAAGTGACGAGTAGAGGTCGTCGGTGTCAGGCTGACAAGTAGGAGATTGTTTGACGAAGAGGAGAAATGAGAGATTATGGGCGATCGGATCTCTTCTTCACTTAATTAATATTGATTAATCTGTTGATCTAATAAACTGATCTCATAGTTTCGTTCAAATAGTAGAGGTGAAGAAACATTCCACTTTGTGTTAGAGGATTTCATTAAACACCAGTATACATATATATACAATCAGAACCAGTCACCATAAAGGGGAGGGGATTTGACAGAGGTTACACTTCTTGTACCCATCTAGGCAACCAGCAGCATCAAGTGAGTCAAAAGCGACAGAACAGAGGAAGATGTCAAAGCCAGCCAGCCAGCCAGCTAGAATCAGAAAGGTAAGATACACCTTTGTCAACCTGAAAACAGTTCGGAAGTCTTCTGCACTCACTCACTCACTCATTCACTCAGCGAGCATCAAAAACAAGATTCGGATTTTCAACACCGAAATATCAAGTCGCTCTCAGTCAGTTCTTCTATATGAGTCAGAAAATTGACGGGTGCCTCTCCCTCGCTGACTCCACACATTGAAGATCAAATGGCCGATCGGTCAGTTGGCCAGTATGAATTAGCAAGAAGAAACTTTGACTTTGAACAAACCAACAGGCAAGAACTGATTGCTCAACAAATATGTAGGAGAAAATGGAGATGGGGAAGTAGTCATCGAATGAAATAGCGCACGCTAGGGGGGCCCCTACTCGAGTGGAATCCGAATGGAAAGCAACGACTGGGTCGTCGGTGTGAGGGTGACATGGAGGGAATGAGAGAGATTATGGTCAATCGTGGACCCATATCTAAAGAGGAAATGTGTTATTGAAGCCAGCCAGCCCTATAATCTCCTCGGAACTTGTTGGAATTCGTTGCAGCATATCGATCAAGTCTATCTACTTTCATGAAATATAAGAAATTGCAAGTAACCCTCCCCCACCACCACCATTCACACACACATACACTCAAACAGTAAATGTAGGATGAAAACACTTTAACAAATGTACCTAACGAATAATTACATTTTCTATAATTAAATTAATTAATCAAAATTAGGCGAAAAATTACACTGAATACTTACACTGCGCATACACTGAATCGACAACACCACCACCACCACCACAGGGAAATTGAATTATATACGTCATCGAATTATTTATTATTATTATTATTATTGCTATTATTCAATAGCGACATTGAGTAGTAATGCTCTTTTCTGTAGAAAATCTTTAGAGAATTTTGTTACACGCTTAGATCGACCCAATGAAGTTTCAATAAATTCTACAATCTGTACAACAACAACAACAACAACAAAAAAGGAAATAAACAAATGAAAAACATTTTTTATTTAAAATGTTTCAATAAATACAAGTGATTAATAATTATTACAGCTTGGATGATGATATGCGCTGAGAATATAAATTTCAAGGGTTCTTGGTACTTTTCCACTACCTACCTACCTGGAGTAGATTTCTTATGCATCACAATCACACTGAAGTAGATGAAGATGACACTTTATCATTTATTGTTCACGGTTGATAATAATAATAATAATAATCCCTAAGGTTCGAATCCCACCCCACATACTTCCTATAAGTATAAAACTTGGGCACTGTGGTGGTAGAGTATAACTCCATTATAGATAAGATTTTATTTTGATAAATCACACAGTGGAGTGTTATACAGTAATATTAACTGATGACCACACGTTTCAACCACAAATTATTGCTGCTCATAATTTCATATCAAGCTACTCACACAACTTTGTAACTACGTTTACATAATAATAAAAATAATTCCATTATTTTTCATCGCTTGATTTTATTGTTAGTAGTATTTTCCGTATTTCTGGTATGCCTGATGAGTCATTTGTGTTGTATGTGTTGGGTGTAGACTCGATGAACAAGAATTCAGTAATCAATCTCTCTCTCTCTCTCCACCTATTTAGATTACTTCTTAGAATCTAGTCAGATTAAAGGATCCTGTTGGTTGACCCAACTAAATAAAAATAATATAATTCACAAAATATCTTGCAACGACTGTCAGTTGAAACAACTATATAGGCCAAACTAGTAGATTGTCTGTCTGTCTGTCTGTTTTCGACATAGAACTTTGCACAAATGTGCGGAAGTTCAAGTCGCCACATTCCGTGTAGCACGCGAAGCAAGAGAAGAAAGTATAAGAAAAGCATAATAGAAACAGTGAGCAGAGGTGTGAGACAAAGGAGAATAAAGAATAACAAAACAGTTTCATTGGAGATCATAAGTTACAAAGAGTGGATGCATCTGCGCCACTGAGAACGGTTTTGAGCCATGTCACCAACTGTTTCCAACCATAGAGTTTTACCGTCCCGAGGACCCCAGCCTGGAAATCTACACCCTCCTACGTGGCTTAGACCAACTGTTGTGGATTTCATTGGGGGTAGTCAGACTGTCGGAACATAAGAATTTAGTTAAGGTAAGAATGGTTGACCCCGAGAAGGTAAGCAATTTAGAAAAAAGCTCAGCAATTGCAGTAAATGCATGAACACACAGTCACACAATAGGGTGGGAGAGGGTTAATATAAGTAGGTGGAGAGTCTACACCCAACACATGCAACAGAAATGACTCAATGCAAATACCAGAGATGTGGGAGATATTATTATCACCAGTCAGTTAAATCACAGGAGGATAATAAATAATCTCAAAATTCTATTTCAATTCAAGCACATCACAGCATTCTAACAAGTTACTTATTTATTTTGACTATAAAAACACTCGTCTTATTTCCCATCTGATTGTAATTGAACAATAACACTCGTATCATTATTCCTGAATGTACATTATCTCATATTGAATTTTATTCAAATGTCTAATCATCAATTCCACTCATGTATATAAATGAAGGAAGAAAGTTGTGTGAGTGAATGACTTGCTATGAGATTATGAGCAGAAATAATTTGTGCTCAAAAAGTGGTTATCAGTTAATATTACTGTGTAACACTGTGTGATTTATCAAAATAAAATCTTATCCATAATGGACCTATATATTTCCACCTGAAATCAACTGCAATAGGTGTATAACCAACCTTCATACGACGAAAACATTTCTGATACATGTGACTAAGATCTAGAGCTAGCCTCCAGGATGGAATCGGATTCGAATCCAAGACCCATCGGCTAAAATTCGAGTGTAAATGCCAGTGAACTCTATCAATCATATGAGTATACATATATATACCTGCTACCCATACATATATCAACATAATTTCATAAAATGTGAGCCTGTTTCGAAACAGCCTTTTATGATGAAATTAAAGACCAGCCATGTGGAAGACCGACAACCAAAATGACCCTAAAATGGTCAAATAGAATACACCAGTCTAAAATTCAAACGATACAGAGAAGATTATAGTATGGCTCTTGTGTCGGTGGCACATTAGTAGACTGCTCGCCAACCACGCATTTGGTTCAGAGTTCGATCTCCCAGACGAAGCACTTCTTCACCTCGCTAAGCCAGTAATAAGACTGGTAAAGAGGAAAAGTTGGAGGGGGGGCAGCAGGACATGAGGCTAGCAACCTCATCCCGTAAAAATAAACACCACAGCTACTGAAACTTCAAGCCCTATGCTCCACTGGGAACGTAAAGCATTTAAAAAAAACACAGGTCACCTACTTCTGAAAACTTGCATGAATAGCTCTCAGTATATTTTCGAGAAATTGTCGGTATCCATCCTCATAAAGTGCCTGGATTTCTTTACCTTAAATTATTTATTATCATTTCCTTTAATTCCTGGAGGAACATAGGGCCTCAGCAGCCCAAGTCTCCAATGCGTTCGGTTTTCTGCTGGAGTTTTCACCTGGCTCCAAGTTTGCCCACATGCTTTCACATGACCTCCTCCAAGTCACCCTCGCACTGACGACCAACTCGCCGCTTCCCTTTCGGGTTCCACTAGAGCCATGGCTTGTCCAGTGATGTCACTTGATGGTTTCCTCAGAGTATGGCCAGTCAATCCATCTCCATTTCTTCCCGCTTATTTATTTCACAATCAGTTCTTGTTGTGTTGGTTGGCTCATTGCCAGAGATCCCTCCCTGTTTCTGATCTTTTCTGGCTGGTCATCTAATGTTGAGTAGTATTAAGCGAAGACAGCTGTTAATGAAGGTCTGAAGTTTGCTTGAGATGCTCTTTATGACGCGCCAAGTCTTTGATCCGTATAGTAGCACTGACTTTACATTGGAGTTGAAGATCCGGATCTTATTTTTCATGGTGAATAGTGCTGTTGACATCCACGCAGACTTGAGAGAAACGAAAGCTTGTCTTGCTTTCCCAACCCTCGCTGCTTTGATATCCTCATCATTTCCGTCCGTCTGTAGTTGAAACGATGCTTCCCAGGTGGGTAAATGAGGTTGTTTCTTTCAGGTTCCTCCCATTTATGCTGGCTGATTGTTGTCTGTTGTTGTTGCTGTTGGTGTTGGCCAAGAATCTTCATCACCTGTTTTCTCTATGTTCACTTGAAGTCCTGTCTTTGATGCTTCTTCTACCGCCAACTTGTTGCTTTTCACTTGAAAAATTTCCTGTTTGTGGGAAATCAGACATATATCATCGGCATTTATTAAAAATAAACTCGATTTATCCCACATATATAAACTTCACTATTACATACGCGAAATCAGATTGGACGTCGTCACTCCAAGGGATCACTCGTTTGTGTCTCCGTCCATTTGGATTACTTTTACTTTGAAATTTCTGTCTACTTACATAAAGTAAAGTAACATGAGTTTATTTAATTTTTTTCATTTCCTGGGATCTGAGTAGAATATAAAAGCTTTGGGATATATTGAAGTTGCGCTGGAGATGGTGTATTGTTTTTAATTCCTTATTTTATTTCATTCTTTTACGTTCCCAGTGGGAACATAGGGGACTTCAAGCTGGAGCTTTCAGTAGCAGTGGTATTTAATTTTATGAAATGGGGATGCCTCATGTCCACCACCACCCACATCAACCTACCCTCTTTTATCAGTCTTACTACTGACTTAGCGAGGTAAGGGATGAGTGCGTCAGTGGCCGGGGTTCGAATCATCACACACACACTACACATGCGTGGTTGGTGAGCGAGCATTCATTCTACCGCTTTCCCAGCCACCGATGTGTGTTGTTTTGAAAAGGACAGAATTATATTGCCAAATCTTCACGTTAACTAGGCGAGGTTTAGAAGCACGTCAGCAGAAATCAAAGGTAAGTGTGTGTGTGTGAATTAAATCAACTGAACATTTTATGAACTTAGTCACTATGACTGACTGCCAATCAATCACAAAAACAAATAACCTTAGCCTAAATTAACAAAGAGTACATTAAAACAATTGGTCCCTCTGTGATAAATTTGAATAAGGCATTTTTAGAAGACAAATTTCGCGAGATCATATCTCGTCATTTCGTAGTTTATTTACAACCGCTTTACAACTAACACACAGTTTAGGCTGTATGTGATCAACCCCCCAAACTGCTTCCATTACCTCCAACAAACAACCGTGAATTAGAGTTTCGCGATGAAATAATTGTGAAACAGTCATTAATTAATATTGATTTTGTGACCTGACATTAATAAGTGTTTTGCAATGGAATGGATGATGACAATGGATTTCTATTCAGGTTAATCGCATTGGGATTTTCGATATGATTAAGTAACCATTTCGGAACATGTTCTTTCCGACCACGACATTGGAACAATCTGTTGGTCCTACCTATATATAGGTGTGGTGTCACCGCAACAACTGTAGGTGAACTTGTAGATACAGTTTGAGGGGTGTAGAGTTCACAGAATTTCGTCCTTTAATCGTAGGTAGGCACAGGGATCGAAAATGTTGGGCATGTGAGGGTAAAAGAGGTGTGGCGGCGTAGATTGTACGCTTGATGGCTGGCTGACCGAAGTGTCTTTGAGCTAGCTAGCTGTTAACTGCCGCATAATCTGGTCACCGCATCTCTTTAACCCTCACAAATGCCGAACATTTTTGATCCATGTACCTACCACCTACGATTAAAGGACGAAAATTCTGTGGACTCTACACCCCTTAAACTGTATCTACAAGTTCACCTGCAGTTGTTGCGGTGACACACACCTATATAGGTAGAAAAGCCAATAGAATGTTCCAATGTCGTGGTCGAAAAGAACATGTTCCAAAATGGCTTTAAAGCGTATATATATAAAATATAGACAAAATACATAAACACAAGCTAAAAACCAACCCAACAGACACAAAGAAAAAAAGATTATGATCATGTCATAACTTGTTAGTAATGATAACAAAAATAATAAAATAAAATACACACGCCTATACTATAAAGTCGTACGTGCCTGTGTTTATGATAAATCTCGTGGAGTTAAATTCACTTAATGTGCATGGAATAGTTGATGTCAATAATCAATAGTAAAAGCAGTTTTCATCACCAAAAAAGTTTGTGTTTCTAATTTTTTGCAGGCATTTCACATTTGATTAGTTTCAGAATTTCATCATGAACTGAGACACATCGGTTAGACGACCACCACTGGGGAAACAACAAGGGAGTAAGTACTAGACACCTAGCTAGCTAACTGTTTCGTCCTAGTTTTGAACTCTTCATGAGTGAGACTCGAATACAGGAACTTCTGGTTACACAGGCGATTGAGTTTTTCAGTGGCTTTAATGGTCTACGAGTTCACTAGCCTTGTAATCGAAAGGTCCTGAGTTCGAACCTCACACCTCACACACCGAAACTAGGACGAAACAGTTATATCTGTCTAGTACTCCCTTGTGGTTTTCTCAATAGTCGTCTAACCGATGTGTCTCAGTTCATGATGAAATCTTGAAACCAAAATGAAAAGGTGTTAATTCGCCTCAAAAACAAAACAATACGCCAATGAGTGAACTATAATATAAATACTCCCCCACCCCCGATTTGCCAGCAGTACAGACATAGCCTTACACTATGTTCAAAACACAGTATTATTGACTTTTACTAATGCCTTTGGTGTAATAGTTATCTCTGATCGACACTTCTGACATGGTGGAGGCATTCTTATTCTACCCAGTGTGCATCACACTGGATCATTAGGGGGGTATGTAAGTCCAAGGTACCAGCTGTCATCAGGAAGCAGAATTAGACTACTACACCTCATTCTTCTTAGGTAAAACTCATCACATCTAAGAAGATTGAGACAAGAACCACATTTTATAATATTCAAGGTGATAAATAAGAATTGAATTATTGAATCAAAGTTCCCTCAGTGTTTCTTCTATAATCGCGGAGTATAGAGAAACTCACACCTGGGAGCTATATATCAACAAATTAATTTCATCTTTTTCAAATAACACACATGCTAGGTAATATGGGATGCACACTTAGATTGTCGATTGATTTCCTTTTTATTTTTCAATCAATCACGCCAATATTACTGTTGTTGTTATTATGTACTGATATATTTATGCGTTGAAGTTTCTACAGCAATTTGGTCAAGTTTTGGGGATGGAGTTGCTAGCACCACGCACCCCAACCCTCCCTCTTTATCTGGACTTCGGATCGGCTAGAAAACTAGCGAGCTAGTAATCTAGGCGAAGACTTACAAACGAAAACCGACTGACAAACTGGTCGAAGAAGCAGCCGGCGAAGACAGGACTACAAGTGAACATAGACAAGACGGAGGTTATGAAAATAACCAACCAACCAACCAACAACAGTAGCAACATCCAGCGCCAATCACCATCGACGCGACGGATTTGAATGAGGTTACTTCATTCACTCACTTATCTAGGGAGCATTGTCTCAACTATCCGAGGAAAGGACGAGGATGTCGAATCGAGAGAGAATCGGGAGGGCGAGAAACACATTCATCAATATTGATATTTATTTAAACTCTAATTATCTGTCCACTTCATCTACCTTTAGTATTACGTAACTTTTAAGCTTTGACTAATTTATATATTGAATTTTCTACATATACACATATACTTTCTTTATTATTCTTATCGCCAGTTGCGTAAACGTCATTATCATTATTTCTGTTATCATTATAACCATCGTTATTAATTACGTTAAAACATTTACCATATTATTATTATTAGTTCCACAAAATCACCGTCATTGGTTAAAATTTTTTTATATATAAGTCTATGTAAATTAGAGTAAAGTCTGAAGAAGATCTAATTGAAAACAACAAGATTGTTCGTTTATATGTCCTGTTCTAATATTAAAAATGTGAGTATTTAAGGATATATATATAGTTTACTTAAAAGAAGGCTGATCAGTAAATAACCAACTGCAGAGGAATTTTGGAGACCGGCATTTTTAGCCCCACCCTGAAATAATTTTGTCAGGCATTCATCTATATAGGTAGGTAAAAAGAAGAAAAAAATGAGATCTTACCTCATCTGAAGTTTGTAGATCGCATAATAAATCAACTAGAGTAGGTAAATCGATACCAGACAATGGCATGGAAGACAGTTGAGATTCACACCAATGCACAAGTTCTTCTTTAACTGTAAATGAATTCATCGTACTACAATTCTTCTGATGTGGCAAAACAAAAACAAGATTGGTATTATTATAATTATTATTGATGTTTCGGTACATCATTTCAGATGATAACCAAAAATAACACACAAAAATAAAACGTGAAAAGAAATTACAGTTGGGGCCCAACTGAGCCACACACACACCTATTGTTTGAAAGCTGTAGGGTAGAGAGGTGGAGCTGGCTTTGAACCAACAACCCACTACTACTACTACTACTACTACTACTACTACTACTACTACTACTAGTAGTAGTAGTAGTAGTAGTAGTAGTAGTAGTAGTAGTAGTTGATAACCAAGAGTTTACACCAATGAGCTATATATGGTAGAGAGAAAACGATGAGTTGGAAGTCTAAGATGTGTGCTGTTGAGCAGCAGTTTGCCCTGTCTTCCTCTTTTTATGACTGTGAGATATAGTCATTGAAAGTGTGTATGTGTGTGTGTGTGTACTCGACCACATATGTTCGAGTTCTATCTCACGTGTTAATTGTGATATACATATATGGTAAGTAATGTTGACAACAGGCGTAGAGTGTCAGGCAAAGCGAGGAAAGGTCCGTCGATGAGCTTGTGAATCTGCACCGAAGAAGTTAAAGATGGACAAATTAAAACTTGGAATTAATCCACGAAGTCTTTGACAGTTGTTTTGAGTCACTTAGAGAGACGTAAACTGCCTGATAGTTGACGACCTCAGGTAACTAAGAATTAACAGTTGTGAACTGTTCTCAATGGCGGAGATCTTTATGACCTAAATAATTCTTCATGAAGGTAGTGTGTCTCTCTGTATCTCCGCCTTGCCTCATCCCCATCTTCTTCACAACTTTATGTGTGCTTTTATGATGTTCAACAAGTTGAACAGTTGTTGTACATTTATTCAAAGTTCTACATCATTGAAAATTCAGTCAGTTAGTCAGTCAACAATTTACATTCATTTCAACGGTGTATAGGAAATCACAGGCAAGATTCCTTTAGATAGTCGATGCCTTTGACATTTATTTTCTTTGGTTGCTTCCTGCTCTAGAGATGAGTGTGTTTAGACACAGTGGAGAGCACCACCCATTGAGTGTCGTCATCTGGAAACACCATCTCCGAAGGCTTTGTAGACAACTGCTATGCATATGATCCTAAAGGCTTCCGTACCGGTTTGTATTCGCTAGCCCTGGGACGGGATGAAAAAAGAAGAGAAGTGGGAAGCTTGTGATGGGGGTGTTGAGGGATGAAGAATATTTGTGTTAGGTTAGGGTTAGGTATTGATTGCTGCGTCACGACTCCCTGGGTGGAGTCCGAGAGATAGCTCGAATCAGTGGTTCATCATAACGTTATGGATAAGATTTTATTTTGATAAGTCACACAGTGTTACACAGTAATATTAACTGATGACGTTTCGAGCACAAACTATCAAGTCACTCACTCACACAACTTTTTTCCTTCATTTAAATACATGTGTGGAAGTGACTAGATGGTTTAATCGATTCAATATCCTGATCGAATTTTCCATCTGTTTGTCTTATTCTCCAACAAAACAATCGAATATGCATCAGTCTGAATAGAGACACACGACTGTATCTCGTGGCAGTAGAATCTAGTGATGCGTGTTTCGTCCTATTTCAGACTCATCAGCCACTCCTGGATTCTACTAACTAGCCTACACTAAAACAAGTGACTTTGATTAACTAACTGGCTGATCGACTAAATTATCTGTGTAGAAAGTTGGCGAGTTCCACATCACAATACACACTTTAAAACAAAAAATTAGAAGAAAAGAAACTGTGTAAGAAAACAGTAGACAGAAATTTAAGGGTAGGTGGGTGGGTGGGTGGAGGGTAGGACAATTATCATTGAGGATTTAAGTCAACGTAGAAAACTACAACGGTCGGTTGTTTCAGGAGGTTAGAACACGGATGGATATCAGTTAGAGAACCACTGCGTACTGGACAGCTGTTTCGTCCTAGCTTAGAACTTATCCGTGGTACGCACCAGGACTTAACGGTTACAAGGTTATCTCGTATACCATTCAGTCAGTGGGATCCAATTCAATGGCCTGTGAATTCTAACTCCCACCAAATTGTGATTTTAGCGCGACCACCAACCAATGTCCTGGGTTCGAAACCCGGTGGGTGCGTACTACGGATAAGTTTCAAACTAGGACGAAACAGCTGTGAAACCAGGTCTGTCTGTCTGTCTGTTTTCGACATAGAACTTTGCACAAATGTGCGACAGTTCAAGTTGCCACATTCCGTGTAGCACGCGAAGCAAGAGAAGAAAGTACAAGAAAAGCATAATAGAAACAGTGAGCAGAGGTGTGAGACAAAGGAGTAATAAAGAAATACAAAACAGTTTCATTGAAGATCATAAGTCACAGGGAGTGGATGCATCTGCGCCACTGAGAACGATTTTGAGCCATGTCATCAATTGTTTCCAACCATAGATTTTTTACCGTCCCGGGGACCCCAGCCTGGAAGTCTACACCTTCCTACATGGCTTAGACCAACTGTTGTGGATTTCATTGACTGATGCCAAGTTTTTGTTTGACCGCCGCTAGCTTTTTTCCAGCCTGACCCTATATCCGCTAACATTGCTCGTCGAGGGAGGCGATGGCTTGGCATACGTAACACATGTCCTAACCATCTCAGTCTTTGTAGCTTCACGACTTCGTCGATTGATTTCCCCTGTTTACCTAGAACTCTACGCCTAACCTCAATGTTGGTCACCTTATTATGCCACTTTACACGGGAAATAGAACGCAGGCACCTATGATCAAAGACAGCTAGTCTTTTCATGTCTTCCACTCTCAGTGGCCAGGTCTCACAGCCATAAAGGAGGACGGAGCGGACTGATGAGCAGTACACCCGCCCTTTGGTCGATAGTCGAACATCTCGTCTACGCCAGAGTCGGCGTAAACTAACAAATGTGAAACGAGCCCCTTGTATTCGTGCTGAGATTTCGTCAGAGATCAGGTGAAAGACACCATATGTTCGTAGAAAAACGATCGAACAAGTGTACGTAAGAACAGTGCAAAAATGATATCTAGTCAGTTGAGGGTTAGGTATAAGAAAATTCCAGACTTTAACTGATGGAATCCAGGATCTGCGTTTCGTCCTATTTAGGACTCGTCAGCTATCTGAATGTACCTGCATTTCTCAGTGAGTGATGATCTTCCCACCCAGTACCCATAGTTTCACAAACACAAAAGCGTTATCCACTAGACCACTTGGGCTACGAGAGCCACTGTCTCTTGTGCAACGGGGTCATATTCATTTTTATTGAATTTGAGATTTTCCCGCCCACTGCTTGATTGGACCGAAGTGCTCGGTGTCAGATTGATACGTCGGCTTCTTGTGCAGATGCTTCGACGAGTCCCGACGAAATGCGCTTTATCTTGCTAGTCAGTCACCATCCAACAATTAAATTCTAATTACATGCCTAGACACCGTGGAAGCATCTGCACAAGAAGCCGACGGACATGTCGTCCTGAGACCTAGCACTTCGCTGCAATCAGTCGACGGGAAAATCTAAAATACAACTAAAAAATTTCCACTGTTTAGGAATATATCAGGCGAAATCAAGGGGGACAGGTTAGGGACCAAAATTTGTCTTCCGAGTACGATTGATTGTTGTTTCACGATTGTTGTTGCGTTTGCCACTCCTAGATAGACATTCTTTAACCTTGCCTGACCCTACTAACAATATAACACATACATAAAATATCCAGGAAACTCTGCAGATATACGATATTAAATTGATAACAATAATGTCTGTCTGTCTGCTTTCGACAGAGAACAACTTTGCACCGATGTGCACCAGTTCAAGTCCCCACACTTCCTCTTTGTAGCATACAGAGCCACAGAAGAAAGTAGAAAAAATGTATAACAGAGATAGTAAATAGAGGTGTGAGACAAAGGAACAGTAATAACGAGGAACAACAACAAGGAGTGAATGCATTTCCGCCAGCCATTGAAAACGATTTTGAGACATATCACCAATTGTTTCCAACCATTGGTTTTTACCGTCCCAAGGACCCCAACCAGCCAGGAAGTCTAAACCTTCTTACGTCACCGGGTTAAACTAACTGTTGCAGATTTCATTGACTGGTGACATGTTTTGGTTTGACCGCGACCAGCTCTTTTCCAGCTTGACCTTACGTCAGCTAACATCGCCCATCGTTCGAGGAAGGTGATGGATGACTAGACATGCGTAACACATGCCCTAACCATCTCGGTCGATGTAACTTCACAGCCTCGTCGATTGATTTTCCCTCCCACCTACCCACCCAACCATTGGTTTTTACCGTCCCGAGGACCCCAACCACTCAGGAACCCTACAACTTCCTACGTGACAATGTAGTGGTGGTACATTCTACTTGAAAAATGCTTTTATTTCAATATTACATAATAGTTGTACCAGTATCATTATGCAATTATATTCCCCAGTCTCTCTCTCCCTCTCTTTCCCTTACCTGATACACAATTTATTATAAAGATATCAGGCAGAGACTATAGTTGTGATTTGGATATGGCGGAGGGTTCCAAAGGAAATTTGGGTGATCTCTCTCCTAGAGGTGTGTATCCTGTTCGTCTGTTTTCGACATAGAACAAGTTTGCACCAATGTGCACCAGTTCAAGTCCCCACACTTCCTCTTTGTAGAACATAAAGCAACAGAAGAAACTAGAAGAAATGCATATTAGAGACAGTAAACAGAGGTGTGAGACAAAGGAACAGTAATAACGAGGAACAACAACAAGGAGTGAATGCATCTCCGCCAGACATTGAAAACGATTTTGAAACATATCACCAATTGTTTCCAACCATTGGTTTTTACCGTCCCAAGGACCCCAACCACTCAGGAACTCTACAACTTCCTACGTGACTTATACTAACTGTTATAGATTTCATTGACTGATCAGGCCATGTTTTGGTTTGACCGTCACTAGCTAGCTCTTTTCCAGCCTGTCAGTCGAGGAAGGCAATGACTAGCCATGCGTACGCAACACATGTCTTAACCATCTCAGTCGATGTAATTTCACAGCCTCATCGATTGATTTCCGCTCCCACCTACCTAGCACGCGACTAACGCTAACCTCAATATTGCTCACCTCATTATACCACCACCTAACACAGGCACCTATGATCAAAGACAGCTAATCTTTTCATGTCTTCTACTCTCAATGGCCACATCTCAGTCACAGCCATAAAGGAGGACGGAGCGCAATGATAAGGAGTACACACGCCCTCTGGTCGATAGCCAACCGGATTTCACGTCTACGCCAGAGACAGCGTAGACTGGCATACGCGGGACTAGCCCACTGTATCCGTGCTGAGATTTCGTCAGTGATCAACCCGCTGGCATTGGCTGATGGTACTTCCCAAATAAGTGAAGTGGTCAACACGCTCAACCAACCACTTCACCCCCTATTTCTAAACTAGGAGTGAGTCGGTGTAGTCCAGTCCAGTCCTGTTACATCATCTTATATTTGACAGCAGGAGCGAATCGCATGAAAAACATTCGTAGATTGCTCACTGCTCAAGGTGTTCAGAAGACTCTGCTTCATTTTGTCAACGTCTTCGCCTAGAAGGACTATATCATCTGCATATTCTAAGTCATTAAGATTATTGCCTGTTAATAACAAGTCAATCCCTGAGCCTCTAAAGTGAGTTAGGGTTAATAATAATAATAATAGTAATAATAATAATAATAATAATAATAATAGGTAAGTAGGTAGGTAGGTAGGTAAAACTTACTTTCTTCTTTTTATTACTGGCTTTTTTTACACCAACAGAATTCGTAGTATTATCCAGATTACTAGATACAGGTAAATCCCATATTGATGGAATTGGTGCAGTAGATTGACATTTCTTTGTTGTATTATTAGTATTAGTACTATTATCAGGTGAATTGATCAGTTGACCTTTTGTAGTAGTACATGGAATAGTAGAATGGCTAGTGGTATTCTTCTTCTCAACAACAGCAACATTAGACACTGATGATAATGATGATATGTGACCAGGTGGTGGTTGTGGTGTCGACGTGGCAACCGATTTTATACTTGACAAGAGTGTAGCATTTGTCGCGGGATGTTGATGGGGACTGGATTTCTGTGGACGTGTTGTATCACTCAGTGGTTGAGCGACGACGCCAGGAGTCTAATGCACATGAACATAAAGAAAAAACCAAAAAATAACAGTAAAATGCTAATATGAAACACTGTTTTTGTACAATTACAGCATACGCTACTGACAGGAATTTGTAAGTAGTATATACATAAATGTGACATCTGCAAGAATGATATGAAGAGTAAGGAAGCGGAATACAAATACTCTGTGAGAATTCGACTGTGTTTCACTGGGTAAGGTGCAGTGGGATCCAGCGTGCACATATCGACATGTTTGGAAGTCGTCAGATGGATATAATTGCATCTCAATGAAAGATGGTATATCTCGTTCACACTTGAACCTGAGCATCCATCCATCATTTAATTCAGTTTAAGATTTTCTCGTCGATTGATTGCAGCGAAGTGTGCTGCTGTGTGTCTCGGTATGTAATCAGAAGTTCATTAGTGGATGGTGACTAGCAGTGGAATTCTGGATGCGCAACATCACACTCACTGGGAAACGAAGGTACGTGCAGATGACGAGTCCCAAATATAACGAAATGAGCTTTATCCTGGATTCCACCGCTAGTCACCACTATCCACCAATTAACTAGCATCCATTATTTCAAACACTTTTTTGAAGATATTTTAAATTTGAAGTCATTTGTCAGATGGGCTCGACTGTTGATGACACATAGGTCCGTCATATGGACACCTCCATAATATAATAATCAATAAACAGGGTAATTTAAAACAACTTCAAGAATGGTCACGAAGTGACTCCAGTTAGCGGACTCTGAAGAACAGGGAGTTCTGGACAGCTATTATTCTGAGTCATTTTAGGACTCTTCGCGACAGGACACGCCGGAGACACCACCAGAGATTGAACCCAAGACCTAGAGGTTAAAACAAAACAAGTCACTTAAAAGTGTTCCAAATCTAATCTCTGTCAACTCGCAATACAATAACGCGACCACCAGCAAATATCACCAGTGAGTACTTGTTATCACAGTCAACTTGGTGAATCCAGCTAGCCACTATACCCATTAGAACATCTGGCAGTTTCATGCCTGTTTAGTCATTCACTAGAGTTCACTAGACTGACCTTCAAGTGCTAGTGTACCACCAGAAGACAAGGACCAGGAAACAGATAGTTTATTTACGAAATCAACACGTATTTATAGATTTTCATCTACATTATTATAGATTATTGTAAGCAAACAAACACAATCTTCTGATTGGCTGTTTCTCATTGATAGTTAATCTTTCATCTCTTTGTGGCTGTTTCTTGAAGGTCAGATCATCTATCTATCTGCAAATTGTGTCCACCTACGCAAAGTCTACTGTGGTTAGTTGTTGAATCAGTGTTTGTTCTTATTTTTCTCATAACATATATTGGGGACGTAAACTACTGTCTACCAGTTTGGCTAGCAGTCAGCTCTCATCACACTACTTTGTACGGATTGGACTAATTTCAAAATAGATCAGGAATTGACTTCAATGAAAGTACGAAACAAAGTATTCAATACTATCTGGTTTCTAATGGTTCCTTAGCCGGATTTAGTTTGTGATCCCTGTAAACTAGCATTTAAAAATGACTTTTATCTATCTATGAGTATATGACACTAACTGACTGCTGGAATAAAACTGCGACCGAAGAAAAACAACGTGCGTTTCAAACCGATAAAGTCACATGCTACAGTCAATCACTGACTGACTGACTAACTAACTAACTGATTTCAACATAGAACTTTGCACAGATGTGCACCAGCCCAAGTTGCCACACTCCCCACATGTACCACACAAAGCAAGAGAAGAAAGTAAATGTCACTGGCCGGCTTAAACTAACTGTTGTGGATTTCATTGACTGATGAAGCCATATTTTGGTTGTGGTTTGACCCACCACTAGCTAACTAACTCTTTTCCAACCTCATCCATCATGCTATGTCAGTCAGTCAGTCAGCTAAGATTTCCTGTCATCGAGGAAGGCGATCGATTACATTACACGGTGTCCTAACCACCTCGTCGGTTGATTTCCCCCCCCGCCCCCTCCTTACCTACACCTACCTAGCACTCGACAACCAATGCCTAGCCTAACCTCAATATTGCTCGCCCTAATATATCACTACCACCACCTAACACACACACACACACGGGAGACGGAACACAGACAACTATGATGAATGACAGCTAGCTAGCTAGCCAGGCTTTTCCCCTCTTCCACTCTCAATGGCCCATGTGTCTCCGTCAAAACCAAAAAGATGGACGGAGCGAAAGTGCTACTGAGCAGTGCAACCGCTCTATTCTTTTTGCCTCATCATATCTCTGTTTACTGTCTCTATTTTGTGCTTCTTTTTACTTCCTTCTCTGACCTTTGTGTGCTGAGTGAATTGTGGCAACTCGAACTGCTACACACCAGTGAGTGCAAGCAAAGTGCTATGTTGAAACCAGTCAGTCAGTCAGTTAGTCAAACGCTCTTTGCTCGATAACCAGCCGGATATTTACGTCTACTACTAAACCAGGCATGTGATATAATTTGGATAAAAGAGCCATAACGACAAATAATTTCGAATGGATATAATATGCATACCATGCAGTAAACGTATTAAACAAACAAAGATTAAAACTATAAATAGTCACAAATCACAAGAGGCATAAGTGAAACTAAATATTCAATTTTTTCACAAAAACAATTTCTTGAATACTTGACCTGCGGTTGATGACCAAAGTAGCCTATTATTATTTTTATTACTATTAGTAGTAGTATTTTTATTATTAGCATTATTATTATAGACCATTACGAAATGAAGAAATTCATCAACGATTTAAAACATTGCTCAAATATGCAGCAGCTTAAGCTGCAACACTTCAGAAGAAATACAAAGAAACCGTCTACATAATTAATCATAATAATAATTTGCTTTATTCCAGAAACAGTACTAGTGGTACAGTGTGGAGTTTTCAGCACATATCTACAATAGTGCATCTAGTTTTATCAAACATTTAAAAGGAGTATTTTACGAGTTGATCACGAATTGATATCAGTTAGAGAAACCATTGAAAACCAACCCCAGGGAGTACTGGCCAAGCAGCTGCTGTTTCATCAGCCTAGTTTGGGAATCATCGGAAGTACGCACCCACCACAACCAGTCCAAACCTAGGACGTTCCAGGTTACAAGGCCAGCAAGCTCGTATACCATTCAGCCACTGAGACCCGCCCGATTCAATGGCCAGTCCATGAATTCTAACTTCTACCAATTCGTGAGATTTAGTGCGAATGTCACCAACCATTGTCGTTGGTGGGACATCCATCCACACACGTGACCTCGCTGGTTACAACTTCTCACTAGAACACACTCCAGGAAACTCCATCCTGTAGCAAGTCAATCACTACCGAGCATCAGATTAATTTTCTATAGTTTGGTTTCTAAGGGTTAGTTATATTTTTATGAGTTGATCACGGATTGATTCCCAAACTAGGATGAAACAGCAGCTGTCCAGTACTCCCTGGTTTTCAATGGTTCTCTTAACTGATATCAATCCGTGATCAACTCGTAAAAACATAACTAACCATTACAAACCAAAATATAGAAAAGGAGTATTTCAAAAAAATTAATATAAAAAAACAACAGCAACAAGAACAACAAAAAAAACACAAAAAAGCAAAAAACATCAAGAAATAGAAAGGGAAATAAACAACAGTAATGAATAATATCTCAGTATTAGGTAGCGGCAGTTGTGATATGATATGATATGCGTGGTGAACAGTAACAGCTATAATCATACAAGAAGTTATGAAATGATATTTAAGAATGTTTATCGCCAAGATGATCAGTTAATTTGATTGAACAACACTAAACAAACATAAAATAAACATTTCAGGGTGTGTTTTTTTATTGTCAGCTCTAATGCCGGTGTTTGTAGTGGTAGTGTGAGTAATCCTGCATAATACAAAATTTAAAGATGATGATAATGGCGTTCACAACCAAGATTGTCAGTTAATATTGCCAAACAAATAATAAACAACCACAAAACTAATATTACATGATGGTTAATGACAGGACAATTTTGTAATATTCATAGTGATAATATAGTCGGAACCAGTAGATACACAAAAGAAGGAATAGAGTAAAGTACAAAAAAGTAAACCAATGTTATTAACTTAGGTAGCTAAGTATGTTTAAGAAGGTTGTTCAATATAGAATACGAATAAGAGAGAAATAAGAGAGTCTAAGATTATGTTATTAACAACAAAGCAAGCCAGAGGTTTCGCCCTTAACATTGTTTCTGTCACTTAGAACACGGGCAAAATATTCTTGGTTGTACGAGCATATATTATTTTGTACTGATTTCTGGTTCTACCTGATGAGATGCGAGGAGAGAGTTGGGAATAGAGACAGGGTGTTGGGAGTCGGAAAGTATGGTTTCAAACCATTTTTCGCATGTATTCAGATGCTTATCCACTAATGTTGTGACGAGCTGACTGAGTTTTACACAACTTAGTCCTATTAACTACCTTCAATATCCTTCGCAGGATGGTATAGTCCTTTTTCAGTAGCCCAAGAAAGACTAATGGTCAGCAGTAAAGTAGAATAGGTAAGATACGAGAGTTGACAAATTGTGAAAGTAGAGGTTGGATGATTCCAGATAGTCTAAGTTTCCTAATGTAGTAGGCTAGACGGAACACTTTCTTAGAAATTGTTAGGATATGAGATAACCATGTAAGGTCGGAAGATAGAACTAGTCCGAGGTATTTTGCATTGATGGAAATGTACATGAGAAAGAATTAATTACATTAGAGAATAATGACAAAACCTGTGATGCATGTGAAATATCACAAGGGGAATGTGAATACAACATCTGTGTACCACTAAAGACAACGATAAAAAAAGCCATGTAACCAACAGTCACCATCGCACCATTGGTTTTTTTTAGCGTCTTACGGATTCGCCGGCCAGGTAGACGGTCATACATACAGTTAACAAAGTGGCTCGCACTTAAATAGTCAAAGACTTTATGTGCTAGTGGCATGTTTTAATTTGAAAACTACAGAAAACAAGAGGCTTAATCGAGGAATGTTTATTACGAATTTGGTATCTCTATATAGAGAAAGTGTGCATCGGTGGCACAGAGGTTAGGACGCTCGCCGACCATACACATGGTCCGGGGTTTGATCCCCGGCCGACGCACTCCCAAACCTCGCTAAGCCAGAAATAATAATGCTGGTAAAGAGGAAAGGTTGGACATGAGATTAGCAAACCCATCCTGTAAAATTAAACACTGCTAAGGAAATTTCAAGCCACTAGCTTGAGGCCCTATGTTTCACTGGGAACGTGAAGGGGAAAAAATACAGAGAAAGTATGTACACCTTATCTTCAACGCACCATTTGTGTACAGATCTTTCCTACTGTCCTACTTCTGGTCTTCGTATTGTGTTCCTTTGGTCCCTTTTTCACGTCTTCTATGTATACCTCTGCTACGCTGTATCATCATCTCTGACTGACATCAAATCTACCTCCCTAGTATTTGATGTTTTTATGTTGATGAACATGTCTTTATATACTACTGATAAACCTCATCAGTGGCACACGCCACAACACTCGTCCCTCTGTCAAATAGTTTCGAACGGAGCCGTTCCGAACTTCTTGACTCTACTCTTTCCTGTTGTAACCTGGTCCCGGCTTCATTATCCCGTTGTATCCATTTCTGCAGTTTAGCTGACGTTAACCTGTTTCTGTTCATTTCCTCTCTTTTGATGATGTAAACGGAATCATGTCTTTCGGCAAGTGTGTGACCCTTACTACCTCGAAAAGCGTTTACGTATCTATCTAACTGCATACTTTTTTTCTCTACACATTATTTCAGTTGCCAACCTCAAAAGTTATGCATCCCATTATTTTTCCCCCTATTCAGATTTTGCGGCATCTTACTTCTGTTAACGCCCCCACATTCCTGACGGCTTCTTTCCGATCGTTAGCATCCGACGCGTCATAGGTCAGGTTGTGTTATGTATTGGTAGTCGTGGTCTCCTCCTATACATCAACTGGAATGGTGACTTCTTTTTTCTTTCCTCGGGTGGAAACACGATGTGCTACTAGAATCAATGGAAGCTGTCTCCCAGTTACCACCCCACTCCTTCAGTATACAATTGTAAAATCGATGTTTTTAAGTTGATTTTTTTTTCTAGCTAGTCAACGCCAATATTATTATGTCATTTCTGTATGTTTGTAAGAGTTTATGTACCTCCTGAGTGTGCCTGGTCGAAATACTAACATAACAGCAGAAGACAAGAGATTTGGTAAAGTTATTATTATTATTCCCTTGGGTTCCTAGTGGAACATAGGGGTTCAACTGCACGTCTCCACTTGCCACTTCTATCTTCCCTCTGCTGTACTGTACTTTTCACCTGCATCCATCGAAGTCCATATTGTTTCAACTCCTCTTCACACGATCTCCTCCATGTCACCCTTGTATCGACGTCCCACTCGTCGCTTCCCTTTCAAGTTCCACTCGAGCAATTGCCTGACGCGCGCGCGATGTCACCCAGCGGTACCAGTCAATGATATCCACAACAGTTGGTCTAAGCCATGTAGGAAGGTGTAGACTTCCAGGCTGGGGTCCTCGGGACGGTAAAAATCTATGGTTGGAAACAATTGGTGACATGGCTCAAACTCATCGTTCTCAGCGATGGCTGGCAGAGATGCATCCACTCCTTGTGACTTATGATCTCCAATGAAACTGTTTTGTTCTTCGTTATTACTCCTTTGTCTCACACCTCTGCTCACTGTTTCTATTATGCTTTTCTTGTACTTTCTTCTTTTGCTTCACGTGTTACACGAAGTGTGGCGACTTGAACTTCCGCACATTTGTGCAAAGTTCTATATCAAAAACAGACAGACAGACAGCGGCCTCCTCAGCGAGGGAGTGTCCAATCCACCTCAATCCACTTTCTCCTGCATATTTGCTGTTGGTGGGCGATTGGTTCTTGTTTTGTTCGTTCCCAGCCATAGTTTCTTGTTGGTGATTCTTTCCGGTCCGGCCATCTGATCGATCTTCAGTATGGAGCGAAGACAGTTGTTGGTTGATAAATGTCTGCAACAGGCTGTTGGAAAAATTCTTTGTGACCCGCCCACCAAGTTTCTGTTCCGTATAGAAGAAATGACTTGACGTTGTTTTTATTGGAAATCCTACTGAATTTTATTGTTGATGCTGAATTGAGTGACGAAGATTTCCAGATTGGTTTCAGGTTGATGAATGTGTTTCTCGCTCGCCTTCCCGATTCTCGCTCGATCTGACATCCCCGTCAAATCAAATGATTATAATGATAACAAAATATTGATAATAAGGTTTATGCAGGTAGCGATAAGAAGAATACCAAATGTAGTAATATGTGTGTATATGTAGTCAATTCAATAAATAAATTAGGTCAAAACGGGTTATCCTAGTAGATTTGTAAGGAGATACATTGACACCAAGTGCAATAAAGAGAAACTGGCAACAATTGAAAACAAACAACTGTTCACGATATTGCAAATTAGTGGGGAAGTGGCTAGCAAAGTCTTACATCAGAGATTATCGAGAGCGATAAAACGGACTTATACTGCCGCCACCCGCTTTGTTTGTCATTTTCCAGCCGCCTACCAATTATGATTGCTCAAGTGAAATACAAGCTACCTAGCTAGTTGTGCCACTTCTATGTGTATCTATAAATTTAGTTGCACCTGTGGAGAGAGCTGGCTATATAGGGCGAACAACTAGACAGTTCAACAAACGCATAAATGAGCATCTTCCTTCATGGTTCGGAAAAGGTCAAATAAAATCTATAAGAAGTTCTATTTTGGCTCATTTGATTGATGACAGCGGTCACCAAGTGGACAAAAATAGTGCTTTCAAAGTTATTTACCGCATTTCATCGAGCCTTTCGAACGGAATTCGATCTCGCCTTTTACACATAGCCGAGGAAACTATGGGAATTAATTCGAGAGAACAATCCTCTTAGTCTTTGCATACAACAAAAGAAGTTTGTTCTACCTTTGTCTCTCCCTTGCTTAGCCTAGATGAATTCTATTCAAAATCCTCCCACCCTTTCTTATTTTCCATCTCCTTCGTACTTTTATGATATTTATTTAAACTCTGATTATCGTTCCATTTCACCTTTAGTATTACGTAACTTTGTAGATTTGACCTAATTTATTTATTGAATTGTCTACATATACACAATATTTTGTTATCATTATAATCATCGTTATTGACGAAGTTCAAAACATTTACCACATTATTATTATTATTTGATCCACAAAATCACCGTCATTGGTTAAAAATTTCAACTAGAAGCCAGTGTACAGAAGTCATATGGCATAATGTTACATTCACACAGCAGCGGGAGGGTGTGTGGGATTGCAGGATTAACAAACTGAGGTTTTCTATATCCACATGTGATCAGATGACTCTGAAGCTGATCAGACACTTCACTCAAGAGTATATCATCTGTATTCACATACAGATGTCATCACACAACTATCAACTTGAAGAACATGTTAATTATTTTAGTCAAAACAATGGTCTACGAGCTTTGCAGCCTTGTAACCGGAAGGCCTTGGGTTCAAACCCCGGTGGGTACGTACTACTTAAGAGTCCCAAACTAGGACGAAAACAGTTGGATGTCCAGTACTCCCTGGTGGTTTTCCAGTGGTTCTCTAACCGATGATGTCAGTTCATAATGAAATCCTCCATGCAATCAAACAAAATCCCTACAAAACCAATACTTGGAAGGCAATAATAGTTGACAGTGATACATTATCCCTTAACAAATAATGACAATCTGCCAAGTCTGTTTCATAAATTTCAAATTTTTAAACTTACACGCTTAGAACGTTCAGCGAACTTTTCATCTTTTAATGCATCATTAGTTTTTGGTGTTGTTGAATGTGATTCCGACTTTGCAATTTCAGACCAAGCTAGTGTAGGTTTTGCTGATGGTACATTTGCTGGGGAAGGTGTCAACGCAGACATTTGTTCAGCTAACAACAGTCTATGACGACGTTTTTCTTCCTTCAAAATGCAAAGTACAAAAAAAAAACACAATGATGAAGGGGGCGAATAAAACAGGGGTAAATTAGTTCAAGATATACGACTGAAATTGCGGCTTACTCCTCTCCTTTACTCATGGTCTCGAAGGGAAAAACAAATTTAAATACATTTGTGTAATCATTACTAATCTCCACATCATCATTTTGTCCAGACATACCGTCACCAACAGCCAAACAACTTTACTTGCTCATGTGGAGAAACGTATGTCGGCCGTACGCAACACGTCAAGTCCACAAATGTATCCTGGAACACTGTCCAGCTTGGTTGACCAGCCAGCCAGTCAGAGGAGAAAAGAAGAATAGCAGCAGCTCCATCCTCGAACACCTTGTCATCTCCGGACACATCGAGCACCCCCCCCCTCACAATATCATACAAAAGGACTTGGCATATGCCATCTGTACGTAGCTGAAGCATTAGCTTTGTTCGAAATCTGAAACCCCGGACCTCTGCATTCAAAAGTGATACATACATTCTCTCACCCTATCGTGGCCAGAGTAAAGTTCTCAACACAACCTTGCTTCTTTAATTATTATGTAAGTTTATTATGATTATTATTATTTTATTATCATTAATTATTCTCATCATCCACATTTTATTACCATACTATTACTGTTTTATTAATAGCACTGCTTTTTCATACAGATTTCATATAAAAAACTTTGTCGCCTTTCCAATAGTTCCTGTCCATTCTACACGAGCTTACTCATTAGTCGTTATCTCACGTCACATCAACTTCTACCTCTTTCCAAACTTACAATAAGTTATCACGTCTAGATTACATCTGGAATTAGGTTATACGTTTTCCGAGGACAAAGTTTACCAGTACCTGATTGGTCTAAAGATTTCTTTATTAACTTAAATATAATTACGACTGTACAGCAACTTATGAAAATGAATCGTCGAAAAGCGAAAATCTTCTTCGCTGTTAACGCCTTTTTCTTATAAGCCAAACACAACTGTCAGTGAACACCAGGCCTCCGATGGAAAAAAACAGGAGTCCCCAATGTCATAATGCTACCAGACGAAATTCTTCCACAAACCACTGAAGAAAACAACCAACATCCACAAAAGACATGAAATACACTCCTTCATATCGCCTCACTGCATACAGACAATCACGGACATCAAATTGACTGGGACAACCAACGTTCAAATTATTAGACAGAGGAAACACCAAGAATGTCAGGGGAATTTTAGAAACCAGCCTGGTAATCCAGTGAATCGTCGTTAGTCAATAGACACATCGAGATAGACAAAATTTATCAACCGATAAGAAAGAAACCACACACACGAAGGGTCAAGGTTCAAGTCAAAGAAACAATCACTTCCAATACAAGTAACCTAGAAGGTGTGAAAACACACAAGGTCACCAGGAGAGAGATGACTAGTAAACTCGTGGAGAAATCTAAAAGCTCACTTCAGTAAACTGAAGCATGCACTGAAGATGTTGCCTACTAAGTAGGGCGATAAAAGCTTCGCAATTGAACCATCCCAGCTAGCTCAGAGAACACAACCACATCAAAATCATCCACCTGAGCTACAAATCTTCTTCTCTATCACATCTAGATTTCACTACTAGTCATTCACTAGCCACTAATTCTCTTCAAGTTAAATCGTCAGATATCGTCGAATCGCATCCCAACAAAGAGCCAATATGACGACAGAGGCCGACTATACTTCGGGGTCTAATCTCAATCATCAACAGGAAAGTTCAAACTGAATTAAAACCTGTAAACTTCATTAGCAGCCTATTTTTTTAACGATTTCACAGCATATAGATACACACACATATTGGAAGTAAGATTAAAATTTAAAAGTTGTATTTTTTTTTCTCGGCTTAAAGGCAACAACAAAAACGTCAACGAAACACGTCACCATAAGACATTTATGTGTATATATATGTGTGTGTGTCAAGGTAATAACAGTATGAAATAGTATCCTTTTTTTGTGAAATTTAAAATACAATCACCCCATATTTATTTCGCTGACTTGTTTAAACACGAAATTGAACAAAGATACGAACACACACAGAGAAAAACAAACAACAAATTAAGACATTTGCATTGCATATTTCTAAATGTAAACCACAATCACCTTGACCTATAGATATAGAAACGTAAAAGCCTACCTTTACCTACCCCCCCCCACAACTCCATTATGATAAGAAAACTATCACATGATACCATATGGTTAACCATTGATGTAAATCAAAAATAAATAAATATTTGAGGTCAAATCCCTCTAGCTACCTCACTCTCTCATGTAAGGTCTGTCAGTCTGTCTATTTTCGACATAGAACATTGCACCAATGTGCAACAGTTCAAGTCGCCACACTCCCTACTTGTAGAACACAAAGCAAGAGAAGAAACTAGAAGAAATGCATAAAAGAGACAGTAAAAAGAGGTGTGAGACAAAGAAATAGTAGTAACCAAAAACAATATAGCTTCATTGGAAATCATAAGTCACAAGGAGTGGATGCATCTCCGCCAGCCATCATTGAGAACGATTTTGAGCCATAATTACCAATTGTTTCCAACCATTGGTTTTTACCGTCCCCCAGGACCCCAACCAGTCAGGAAGTCTACACCTTCCTACGTGACTCGCTGGCTGGCTTAAACTAACTGTTGTAGATTTCATTAAATGGTGCCGTGTTTTCGTTTGACCGCCGCTAACTCTTTTTCAGCCTGACCCTATACTAGGTAACACTGCCTGTCGGTCGAGGAAGGCGATGACTAGCTATGCATGCGTAACACATGTCCTAACTATCTCAGTCTATGTAACCTCACAACTTCGTCGATTGATTTCCCCAGCTTACTTAGAACTCGACGCCTACTCATGTTAGGTGGTATACTATGGTCTCATAGTTTATTAGATGCATCACACAGTGAATGAAACAGTATTACCGCTTACTGGATGACACAGCTTCGAACAAAATTTATTTATTGTTCATAATCATTTCATCATCAGTTATAATCACACGACTTCGAAACTTGAGTTTTATAGTTTTTTTTTGTCTTCTCCTATTTGTCGTAGGGGAAAACATAGCGATAGAGACGTTCAGCCCCACCCCAAAATTATGGTGGCGGTGGTATGTAGATGAGCTGATTGCACTGACTCAGAACTTGTGTTCCTAAAAGCCATGCTAGCAGTAAACGGTTACCTGAACCGATTAATTGACAGTAACGAGAAAGATAGACAGTGTAAACTGGTCACCGACTCAATTCCAAAGAAAACCTTATTCATGAACTTGAAATTCAAAGATGATCACGCTTCAGATATGCTCAAAAATGGTCTCTCTAAAGCAGTCAGTAAAACGTTATTTGCAGTAAAATTACAAATGACATTCACCAGCCGCAAGTTGTTCTCCATCTCTGTAAAAGATAAACTCCCCCGTCTGGCCGCCTCCATGTGCATCTATGAATGTCCACCTGCTCTTGTGGAGCAAGGCAGATTGCCCGTAGTCAGAGGATGCTTTCCACACGGATACGAGAACATATTCCAACTGCATGGTTTTACAAGGGAGAAAGGAAGTGTGTGTGTGTGTGTGTGAAGCTCTATTCTGGAACACCTGATCGACTTCTGTCACTCTATCAGCCCTGACCATGATTTTAAGATCATCTACCGAATCCATGCTAACCGAATTGCCGCGTTTTCTTCGATATAGACTTCTAAAGACAGCGGAGGCCTTGGCCATTGATGCATTTAAGCCAGACTTTTGTGTACAAGAGAAGTATATACAATCCCTACTTCTGCCTTGGCCGTAGACGAATAGACATTTATTTATTTATTTACTTTGTTTATTTAGTTATTCTATGTACCTTCCCCTTATTACTACGATTATTATTATTACTACCATTCTCACTCTGAATTGTTTCCGCTTGTCTCACTTGTCATTCTATTTCCAAATTTTTTTTACAATATTGAATTCTATCTTATCAAATTTCACACCATATTATGTAACATTTTATATTCGCCTACTAATCCTATAATTATGCACCCCTCTCCAACATATATACATCTTATAAACTATTCTATATATTATTGGATGGAGGATTTCATCATAAGCGGACATCAGTTAGAGAACCAATGAAAAATCTGGGAGTACTGGAACAACTGTTTCGTCCTAGTTTGGGACTCTTCAGTAGTACGCACCTACCAACAGGGGGTTCGAACCCAGGACCTACTGGTTACAAGGCGAGAGAGTTCGTAGATCATTTAGCCACTGGGACCCAATCCAATGGCCCATGAATTCTAACTTCCTATAACCAATCAACCACATCCCTACAAACCGATACTTGAATAACAATGGGAATTATTAAATCTGTTGTTGACCGATCAACCTCTAACCACTCTCTCTCTCTCTCTACGATTCTACTTCCATCCTAAATGTTTCTATTAATGAAGACAGTCAACCGAATATCCTAAATTCCCTCTACTCATGTCCAGTATATAAATGCGCTTATGAATCTGTGCTCACACTGTGGCGTGAGATACTGATAAGGTGTATCAGTAGTATATAAATAGACGTTCACTGGCATAAAACATCCAGTAGCAGGAAGAGGATAGATTTGATGTAAGAAAAAGAAAATGATACAACGTTGTCGAGATACATGCGAGATGAGATGAAAAGGGACACCAAGAAACAAAATATAAAGGAAGGGCAAAAGTAGCATTTGTGAAAAAAAGGAGAATTCAGGAGCATCTTGCACGATACGTCAATGAATACAATACACTTGTTTGTCTGTCTGTTTTCGAAATAGAACTTTGCACCAATGTGAAACAGTTCAAGTCGCCACATTGCCACCTTGTACCACACAAAGCAAGAGAAGAAAGTAGAAGAAATGCATAATACAGACAGTAAACAGAGTTGTGAGACAAAGGAATAGTAATAACGAAAAACAGTTTAGTTTCATTCGAAATCATAAGTCACAAGGAGTGGATGCATCTCCGCCAGCCATCATTGAGAACGATCACTTTGAGCCATATTACCAATTATTTCTAGCCTTCATTAGTGTTTACCGTCCCGTGGACTCCAACCAGTCAAGAAGTCTACACTTTTCTACGTGGCTGGCTGGCTGGCTTAAACTAACTGTTGTGGATTTCATTGACTGATGAAGCTGTGTTTTGGTTTGACCACCACTGGATAACTCTTCTTCAGCCTGACCCTATACTAGGTAACATTGCCTGTCGGTCGAGGAAGGCGATGACCAGCTATGCATGCGTAACACATGTCCTAACCATCTCAGTCAAGCATCGCCAGAGTATCTCTCAAATGCCGCCTTTAGCTACAATACATCAAAACGCTTTGTATGAGATAGACAATGATAAATGTGATGATAAGAAGTCAAAGTTTCAACAACAACAACAACAACAAAAAACGAACCTCTTCTGCTTCTTGTGCAGCTTGAATAGATCGTAAATCATTAGCAAGTGGCTTCTCTGGAGTATTGACACAACCAGCAGCCCATCGAGCTGATTCAGGCAATTTTAAACGACTCAATTCACTGTCAGCTTTCATGCGTAATGCTTCACGCCTACTTTGTTCAGCTAGAGCACGAGCTTTTTCTTGATCAGCCAGTGCTTTCTCCATAGCAAGAGCATATGCCTCCTCTTCGGCTATCTTCTTCAATCTAGCCTCTTCAGCTAATTTCTGCTCTAAGGCTGCAGCTTTACGACGATTGAATTCAATCTCCCAGGCTAATTGTTTTTCTTGCTCTGCAGTCAATCTATAAAAAAAAAATTGGTAAACCAAAATTACAAATATATATTCTATTAAGCTCTTTATCTTAAAATCTCTCATGGAATACTGACAAACTATGATATTGTAAAATGTAAAATAAAACCGGCATATTACTGTAGCAATAAAAAATAAAACTCAATGACTGACTGAATGGTTTCAGATATGATAGAGAAGATTTGTAGCTCAAGTGGATGATTTTGATGTGGTTGTATTCTCTGAGCTAGCTGGGATGGTTCAATTGCGTAGCTTTTATCGCCCTACTTAGTAGGCAACATCTTCAGTGCATGCTTCAGTTTACTGAAGTGAGCTTTTAGATTTCTCCACGAGTTTACTAGTCATCTCTCTCCTGGTGACCTTGTGTGTTTTCACACCTTCTACGTAACTTGTATTGGAAGTGATTGTTTCTTTGACTTGAATCTTGACCCTTTGTGTGTGAGGTTTTTTTCTTATCGGTTGATTAATTTTGTCTATCTCGATGTGTCTATTAATTGACAATTTACTGGGATACCAGGCTGGCTTCTAAAATTCCTCTGGCTAGCATTCTTAGGGTTTCCTCTGTTTAATAATTTGAACGTTGGTTGTCCCAGTCGAATTGATTGATGTCCGTGGTTGTCTGTATGCAGTGAGGCGATATGAGGGAGTGGATGTCATGTCTCTTGACGGCTAGCTTATGTTCGTGGATACGAAGATGAAGGGGACGTCGTCCACTTTGGCCAATGTGATGTTTTTCACTATTGTTACAATTAATTTTGTAGATGATGTTGGTTTTATCTTCTTTCGCTGCTGAGTCTTTTGGTTGACATAGAGCCAGTTTGTGTGTGACGTCAATTCCTAAAAAGTGTGAAGAGTCTTAGAGTGATTTCTGAGATATCGTTTATATATGGTAGGGCAATTTTCTTTGTGCTTTCCTTGGGGCTTATGGTTTTGATAGGTTGGCGGCTTGGGCGTATATGTCTTTTGATGAAATTCCGTGAATATCCATTCCTTTGGAAGACGTTCATAAGATATGTTTTCTCAATGCAATGAGTCCTGGCCCTCTCGAATAGTCCCAATACAAGTAACGTAGAAGGTGTGAAAACACACAAAAACAACCAATCACAAGGTTCCAGGTGGTCACCAGGAGAGATGATTAATACACTCGTAGAGAAATCTAAAAGCTCACTTCGTGAAATTGAAGTATGCGTTGAAGATGTCGCCCAGTAGGGCGATGGAAGCTTCGCCAATTAACTATCCAGCTAGCTCAGAGAACACAACCACATCAAAATGAATGGTTTCAACATAGAACTTTGCATAGATGTGCACCAGTTCTATTTTCCACACTCCTATGTTGTGGCACACAAAGCACGAGAGGAAAATAAACAGAGATTCAAAAGGGAGAGAGAGAGAGATGATAAACAGAAGTGTGAATGAGGCAAAAAGAATAGTAGTACAAAAGAACAATAGAATTTTATTGGATATGATAAATCAAAAACACTGAATGCATCTTCGACAGCCACTGAGAGCGATTTCGAGCAATATCACCAATTGTCTCCAGCCTTCATTGGTTGTTACCATCCCAAGGACACCAAACAGACTGCAAAGCAGTCTACACATCACGAAGTGATCGACTGGCTGGCTTAAACTAACTGTTGTTGATTTCATTGGCTGATGAGACCATGTTTCGTTCGACCACCACTAGCTAACTCTTTTCCAGCCTCATCCATCCTATGCCAGTCAGCTAACTACCATTCCCGTCATCAAAGAAGGCGGTCGATTGCATAACACAGTAGCGTGCGCAACGCATTTCCTAAACATCTCTCTCAATCGATACAGTAGCTTCACAACCACCTCATCGACCTATTTTCCCATCCCTACTTAGCCTTCGACCACCGATGCCGAACCTTAATATTTCTCACCCTATTATACCACCACCAGCATCTGACACACACGGGAGACAAAACACAGACAACTATGATGAAACACAGCTAGCCAGCCAGTTAGACTTTTCATGTTTCGCAATTTTGATGACCATGTCTCACTCGCAGCCATAAAGCAAGATGGAGCGAAAGTGCTTCTGAGAATTACACACGTCCTTTATTCGATAGCCAGCCAGCTGGATATTACGTCTACTAAGTCAGAGAGAGAGAGATGGGGTATGTTGGCATATACCAAACCAACCTCTTGTATTCGAGCTGAGATTTCGTCAGAGATCAAATCAACCCAATGGCACTGGTTGATGCAACACCCCAAATAATAATGAAGTGGTCAACAAGCTCCACTAACCACTCCACCACCTCCCCGCCATATTTAAGCTAGGAGTGAGTCAAGTCAATCTAGTCCAGTCCAGTTCAGTCTTGTAGCATCATTCACATTTCACAACGGGATCGACTCATATGCCGACTCATAGGTTCGAAGAAGACATTGCCAAGTATACGCACTATGTCATGAATTAGTAGAAATTAGAATTCATGGGCTGATTATCGAATCGGGTCTCAGTGGCTGATGAATGGTCTACGAGCTCGCTAACCTGGTAATCAGGAGGTCTTGGGTTGGAACTCCCCACTGAAGAGAGTCCAAAATTAGGCAGACTATCCAGTACTCTCCCCCAGTTGGTTTTCCAATAACTAAGTCTAACTGATGTCGACTCAAGACGATGAAATCCTTCAACCAGGTCAAACAACCCCCTCCCCCCCTACAAAACCTCAAAACTTGAATAAACAAGTCAGTTTCTTTAACAAAAAAAGAAGAGAGAAAGAAAAAAACACATATGACACGAATACGCAACATCTCACTTTTTATTAGCTTTTTTATTTTTTCGTTTACTTTTCTTTGAAACTCCACCACCACCACTTTCATCTGCATCATTACTTGAGTCTGCCTTTCCTGGTGTTGTTGCTATTGTCTGTGGCGTGGTAGTAGTAGCAGTAGTAGTCACAGAGGTATTTTTTATTGACGACTCTTCTTGGATAACATTCTCGTCGCTACGGCCGTCCTCGCCATCATCAACATCAACATCATCATCATGATCACGACTAAAATGACCGGTTATCGTCAGTTGAGTACTATCCACCACCGCGATACTTGATGACTCATCATGATCTTTTGAATCATATGATGAGGGTGATGGTGATAATAATGATGACGGAGAATTGATTTTCTCGTCAATCGGAGAGATATGTTCTTCATCACCACTACCACCACCAGTGATATCCTGCTCCTTTGGTTGAGCACTATCCAGTACTTTTGAAGGTGTTGATAACTTCTCATGCATGGTTATTTTTGTCATTTCAGGTGATGGATTTTGTGGGGATGGTGGCGGCGGCGGTGATGAGGAGGAGGACAATGTATTTCGAGTATCTGAATTGTCACCTTTATTAATACTGCCGCTGCTGTTGTTATTACCATTAGCATCTCCCATTTTAGGTGAAATTAACAAACGTGCTAATTCACTTTGTACAGCATTTGTCGTTTGTATTAACGATTCAGTTAGACTGGAATTAAGCTGATTTGAACAGAGATTTGATAGTAATTTAGCTGTCGTATTATTAATTTCAGCTAATTTATTTGCCAGTGCTAATCGTTCTGCTTCTATTTTCGATGTATGCGTCAGGATATTTTGTGCATCAGTGCATAAATTTAAAAGAGCAGTGGTATCATTATTGACTTCTGTATATCGATTAGAATTATTTGATCTTGATGTCTTTAAGTCTTCAGGTGGTGGTACTGGTGATGTATTCGTTGGTGATAATGTTGATGATACTGGGTTTTGTTTACTGTCAACAGATTCTACTTGAACCTTGTCAATACTCGTTACTACTATTTGATGTTGAAGCTAGAAGAATGCAGAGAAGAAACAAAAGTTCAAATGAACTGTCATCAAGATATCAGAGAATAATTCTAAAATATTAGATGGTTGAAGTCAATCGACCACAGAAAGCCTTGGACCTAGATTTCGTGCAAGTTGACACTCACCAGTCAGTAAGGCGTATCTGCAACCGTGAAGGAAGGAAGGCATGTACCTTCCGAGATTCAAACCGCGTTACCCAGTGCGGCCTGCAGTCAGAGACGTTACCACTGAGCTAACTATTCGGGCTCGCGATTGGCCTCCTGTAGGGCTGTATTGGATATTTTTGATTGCATACTAGTCAGTAACTAGTGTAATATGTCTTATCCTATCTTCACTGCAGACTGAATTCTATCAGTCAAGCTTGCAATGTGGCCATTATGCCACTAGGTGGTGGCTCACCATTACAGTGCATTGTGAATTGATGATATTAGATAGAATTCAGTCTGCATCGAAGATAGGACTAGACACATTACACTAGTTACTGACTAGTATGCAATCAAAAATATCCAATACAGCCCTACAGGAGGCCAATCGCGAGCCCGAATAGTTAGCTCAGTGGTAACGTCTCTGACTGCAGGCCGCACTGGGTGACGCGTGTTCGAATCTCGGAAGGTACATGCCTTCCTTCCTTCACGGTTGCAGATACGCCTTACTGACTGATGAGTGCCAACTAACACGAAACCTAGGTCCATGGCGGGGCTTCGTGTGTCCGATTGCCTCCAACCATCTAATAGATCATCAAATCATTGTGCACCGTGATGGCGAGCTACGCAGAATGGTGGCCACATTGCAAACCTGACTGACTGATAGAATTCAGTCTGCACCAATGAGAGGACTAGACACATCACACTAGTTACTAGTGTCCAATCAAAATATACCTTCCTTATTAATTAAAATGAAATAAGGCTTTTTTTACAGGGAACAAACACTGGGACTGGAGCAGCTCATCTTCAACCGCACTCAATTCGCTGTGGCTGCTGCTGCTATCACTGACGACTGTTGCCACGAATGACCACCACGTCACACAACAAGCTTAACTTTCATTTCCTTCCTCCTTACACTATCTCTCCTCTAATATCAACCTTGGGCGACTGAACATAAGAACAAGCCAAGGCTGGCTGTCTGGCCTATTATCACCGATGATATTCTTAGTTGTGATGGACTGGATTATGCGTCAGACTGTTGGGGTGAAGAGTCAGGAATACTTTTTATTTTAATTTTTTTTCATTTACAGCTTGATTCCACACTGTATTTTTGGTACTAGTATGGAATTTTCAGCATGTGATATTATCGGCAGCCCAAATTTTCCAGGCCGACCATAGATATCAGGTGTGCGTCGGCAAGGGATCGAACCACGGCCCATGTGCATAGTCCTAACCACTGTGCCACCGACGCTGTGGACGGCTGATAAGAAGACTCTAGAAGATCTGGATTTCGCGTGTGGATGATATATGTTCAATGTCACGCAAACTCTAAGACTTGCAAGCAAAAACAGGACTCCAGGTGGACACAGAGAAGACGGAGGTGATAGCCAATGAACCGCAACAACAACAACGACAACAACCAGCACCAATCACTATCAATGGGAAAGATTTAACACAGGTTGCCTCCTTCACTTATCCAGCTAAGAAGCATCGTTTCAACTACACAGACGGAAAGGACAAAGATGTAAAAGTCGGACAGCATCGGAAAGGTAAGATACACCTTCATCAATGTGAAACCAGTTTGGAAATTTTCCACAATCCGCCTCAGCATAAACAACAAGATTCGCATTTTCAACACTAATGTCGGGTCGATCATTCTATGCTAATCAGAGACGTGTACTGCGTGTCACGAAAAGGATTTGCAACATGCCACCACCACAGACTTTCACCGACAGCTGCTTTCGCTGTCTCCAAAATAAGGATTAAATGGTCAACCAGTTGGTCAGAAAGAATTAGCAACAAGACACTCTGATTGGGAACAAAGCCCGACCGAAAGTTGCTACCTTGACGTGGTGGTCGGGCTTGAACACCGCAATGACCTAATCAAGCTATACTGGCTGAGACTTATGTCTCTTGAGGTTCTACCATGCCAGGAAGGTTGTTTGGATAGCGGTTAAACAAAAAGCAGCTACCCCATCCAATACCATTATTCAAACAAATTCACAAAATTTCATGCCGGATCGGCCGTGGCCCGGATTAACAACGACCGCGCTTCCTGCTGCCGTGTCACAGGGCAGGAGTGATAAGTATGCTACTGAGGCACACCAAACAAAAGAGAACAAACAAAAACAGGCCGCGTGTGACCGGCCTCAAGTAGTTGTCCCCTGGGCTCTGCGGTCACGCAACCAACTTCCACGGTGTGGGCAGCCGGGAAGTAACAAACGCCCTCACAATCCGAAAGACAGAACATAGCAAGAGCCGATCACTTAACAAATATATTGGAGAAAATGGAGATGGATATATCGGGTACACGTTGAGGAGGCTGTCGAATGACAACGGGCCTACTGCACACCATCGCGCTCGAGTGGAATCCATACGGGAAGCATGGCATGAGATCTGACCTCATTTAAAAAAAGTCTCCCCTTAGCATATATACATCCGATTCATATCATTCTGCATATTTGTTAGGCGATAATACATTTTTGACTGATTGGTTGGTTCGCTGGCACATTTCCTCTTCATGACAAAATTAATTAAGATTCTCTTGGCGACGTGTTTTTTTTGTTGTTCTTGAGTGTACTAGCAGTAATGATGAAAGAAACAATCTCCTTTACCTACCCACTTGCCTGGGAAGCATCGTTTCAACTACAGGCTGACGCAAATGACGAGGATATCACATCAAAGCAGCGAAGATCGGGAAAGCAAGACAAGCTTTCATTACTCTCAAGTCCATATGGAGGTCAATGGTATTCAGCATCAAAAATAAGATCCGGATTTTCAACTCCAATGTGAAGTCAGTCAGTGCTACTATACAGATCAGAGACTTGGCCAACGCGTCATAAAGAGCACCTCAAACAAACTACAAACCTTCATTAACAGCTGTCTTCGCTCACTACTTTGCTCAAGATCAGATGGCCGGCCAGAAAAGATCAGCAACAGTGAGGAATCTCTGGCAATGAGCGAACCAACCCAGCGGGAACCGATTGTGCAACAAATAGGCAGGAAGAAATAGAGGTGGATTGGTTCGGCCATAATCTGAAGAAACAAATCGTTAAGTGACATCAGTAGACAAGCCATGGCTCTAGTGGAACCCGAAAGGGAAGTGGTGAATTAGTTGGTCGTCAGTGTAAGAGTGACTTGCAGGAGGTCATGTGAAGACGAGATGAAAGCATGTGGTCAGACCTGGAGCCAGATGAAAACTCTAGCAGAGAACCAAACGCAACGGAGGCGTGGGCGGCTGAAGCCCTGTGTTCCTCTAGGAATTAATAATAATAATAATACTAGCAGTGATAACAACTTGAAGCTTGACTAGAATATTCCTTATAAAGAATGACAGAGATAGGGAGAGAGAGAGAGAAAAAAAAACGCAACACAACAATAAAGAAATAGTCACATCATCATCCACGCTATAAAGTGTTTACTTACCTGTGTTTGGCCTTCATCTAATGTTGACCCAGGTGGTGAAACAACGGCTGGATTATCTGTTCTGTTTGAAACAACTGAATTTGAGCATAATTGATTAATATTGGTACTGGTAGTACCAGTAATACTGCTATTAGGAGTAGTAGTAGTTGGTGGTGGTGGTGGTGCCTCTGGGAAAGATATCTGAGCATTTAATAGATTTTCATTGAATCGAAGACGTGAAGTGATAGAAGATAAATTCTCATGTGTAATAGGCGGTTGATTATAACCTGACCAGAATGGTACACGATTAGCTAAATTCATATGATCAGCTATAGGGGGGTGGTGTTTGTGGTGCGCAGAAAAGAAAACAACAACAAAAGAAAAAGGTTACAGAATTTCATAATGAGCTGACATTGCTGACGAAATTTCAGCACGGATACAGAGGGCTAGTTTCACATATGCCAGTTTACGCCGTCTCTGGTGTAGACCTGATATCCAGCTGGCTGTCGACCAAAGGGCGTGTGTACTAACTACTCAGCAGTTCGCTCCGTCCTCATTTATTGCTGTCACTGAGACCTAGTCATTGAGAGTTGAAGACATGAAAAGATTAGCTGTCTCCGATCATAGGTGCCTGCGTTCTATCTCCTGTGTGAAGTGGCATAATAGGGTGAGTAATATCGAGGTTTGGTATCGGTCAAGTGCTAGGTACGGAGGGAAAGTCAATCGACGAGGCTGTGAAGCTACATCGACTGAGATGGTTAGGATATGTGTTACGGATGCCAAGTCATCGCCTTCCTCGACCGATGGGCAATGTTACCTAGTATAGGGTCAGGTTGCAAATGAGTTATCCAGTGGTGGTCAAACCAAAACACGGCTTCATCAGTCAATGAAATCCACAACAGTTAGTTTAAGCCAGCCAGCCAGCCACGTAGAAAAGTGTAGACTTCTTGACTGGCTGGAGTCCACGGGACGGTAAACACTAATGAAGGCTAGAAATAATTGGTAATATGGCTCAAAGTGATCGTTCTCAATGATGGCTGGCGGAGATGCATCCACTCCTTATGACTTATGATTTCGAATGAAACTATACTGTTTTTCGCTATTACCATTCCTCTGTCTCACACACCTCTGTTTACTGTCTGTATTATGCATTTCTTCAACTTTCTTGTCTTGCTTTGTGTTCTACAAGGCGGGGTTGTGGCGACTTGAACTGTTGCACATTGATGCAAAGTTCTGTGTCGAAAACAGACAGACATTGGTTAGAGAATCATTGAAAAACCAGCTGGGAGTATTGAACATTTGTTTCATCCTAGTTCTGGATTGTTCACCAGCACGCATCCACCGACAGGGGTTCGAACCCGGGGGATTGAAGGCATCATCATCATGTGTATGCGCACCTGAGGTGACAAACGCACTCTCATACAACAATATAAGGATTAATTAGTGTTACTTTTGTTACATGACATTAAAAGTTGCAACATCACATATTTATGAAGGTGAAAATCAACCTCAGGAAGATAATTAAAAAAAAACCCAGATAAAAACGGATGATAACGTTACAAATTTAAAAACAATTAAGTTTCTGAATACTGGTTTGACGAGGAGTCGATTAATAATTTACGTTAAATCACTAAGTGACATCAATTTGACACACCTGTTTTGTTGTTAGTGTACGGCTTTTCATCAGTATTGTGTATCAATAACCCCATTCAAGATTGAACTCATGTTACGGGATTCTGGAAGAAGGCGATTTTTCAGAAACTTTAAACGTTTATCCCCAACACCTAACCACCTAACGCCTTTTATGAATTTGAATAAAGCAAGAACAACTGTTTGTGCGGAATAAAATGGTATCGATTTTCTGAACATGTACCCAAAAAAAGTAGTAAGTCTCCAGTAGGGAAGAAATGCTTTTACAAGTGGCATTGCCAGACATCTATCTATCCCCTTGACACGGGGGTCATGAGGTGAACGTTCTAAGATCGTTCAAAGTTATCGATGGACAGTACAGTTCAATTCTCCTCAAGTTTGCTGAAGCAATCTCTATCAAGTACCTGAAAACACGATTTATGTGTTCGGGAAGAAGCGGTTACCAGTCTTGCCAACTGTGTCTGGATAACTGGATGCTTTCATCCTCTCTTTTGTTTGATTACGTGACGCCAAAGTGTTCCATTGTATATGATTATTATTGTTGTTTGGAATGAAGTGATTATCGTTATAGTTATCACTACATTTGTATGCATACATTGATTTTTTGTTTAAAAATGAACTCTCTGGGTACGTAGGTTTGTTGAAATTGTTTCTATATATGAACCTAATAATGTCTTAAGGCTGTAAGCAGCTGATGAGAAGCCGATGAAATAATTTTTTTCTGATTGCAGCTTGATTCCACACTGTATTTTTGGTACAAGTATGGAATTTTCAGCATGTGATATTATCGGTAGCTCAAATTTTGCAGGCCGACCATAGATATCAGGTGTGCATCGGCAGGGGCTCGCGAAACGCGGACCATGTGCATGGTCGGCGAGAGTTATAACCACTGTGCCATGATGGTACCATCTTGTATTTTGCACAAACATTTGTTGTCGCTTTATTCAAGTTCCAAGGCAATTTGAATTAACCATTCAGCTAGAAGGATGATGACAAAGGACCAGCTCGACCAATTCTAAATGACAAAACCCTCACACCTTTCACTTCACAGTTTCTACCAACATTTGTAGCAACACTTGAAAATTTCAACAATCACATTACTTAGATGATGAGTACTTTGTGTCTGACTGATTGACTGACAGATTTCAACATAGAACTTTGCACAGATGTGCACCAGTTCCATTCGTCACACACTCCTTCGTTGTAACAAACAAACCAAGAGAAGAGAGTAAACAAAGACTCAGAGGGGAGAGAGCCTTTTGTATTCGTGCTAAGATTTCGTCAACGATCAGATCAACCTGCTGGCGATGGCGGATGCGACTTTCCCACCCCCTACCCCCAAATAAGTGAATTAGTCAACACTCTCCCTATCTCTAAAAGCTGGGAGTCAAGTCAACGTAGTTCAGTCCTGTAGCAACCGTCACAATACATTTGTGACAGCAGGAGCGAGTCGTACACCAAACATTTGAATACTGCTTACTGCTCAAAGTGTTCGGAAGACTCTGCTCTATTTTGTCGGCGTCTTCAGCCAGGAGGGATGACAGTATTACTTGTATATTCTAAGACAACGACATTATCCAAGGGTAACAAGTCAATCCCTAAGTCGCTGAAGTTTAGTTAGGGTTAAGTAGTCCATTAGTACGTCTATGATGAAATTAAACAGAAATGGCGACACTGGTGGGCATCCCTAGAAGAACACCACTGGTTACCACCAGTTATCAGATGACAACTCTCCGTAGGCTTTCCCTCACCTGGTTGCATGAATTAAAGTAGAATGCCTTTATCAGTGTGAGATGCTTTTTTTCGGCGTTTCCTTCACAGGCAAACACATTGCATTAGTACTTTTTAGTACTTTGTGTATAAACTAAGCAGCTTGCAGCAGGGAAATGATGCAAACTAAACTTCTTTAATAACAGTTAAGTTTTGTGAAGACTCCGGTCATAAACGGATATTACTAAGAGGATGAATGAAAAGAAAAGGGAAAAGATTGTTCCATTGGTCCATTCCGGATATAATCATAAACCATTCATTAAGTAGTTACAAGTTGAAAACTTCTTTTCACCTTGCTTTACGGTTTCGACAGATAGATAGATAGATGGCAACCTTTGTTTCTATACACGTTGCTTAATATGTTGTAAGAGAACAAAATATTATATAGTTTGACCTTTAGAAAATAGAATCTTTTTTAATTATAGCTTGAATCCACACAGTATTTTTGATACAACTATGGAATTTTCAGCATGTCTGTCTGTCGGCCTGTTTCCGACATAGAACTTTCCACCGATGCGCACCAGTTCAAGTCACCACACTCCCTCTTTGTAGCACACAAACCAACAGAAGAAAATAAAGAGAAATACAAAGTAGAGACAGGAAACCAAGATATAAGGTAAAACGTGTAGTAACACCGGAGAATAACATAGTTTTATAGGAAATCATAAGTCACAAGGAGTGGATACATCTGCAACAGCCACTGAGAACGATTGCGAGCCATATCACCAATTGTTTCAAGCCTTCATTGATGTTTACCGTCCAGAGAACCCCAACCAAGAAGTCGACACCTTCAAATGTGGCTTAAACTAACTGTTGTGGATCTCACTGACTGATGAAGCCATGTTTCAGTTTGACCACCACTGGCTAACCCTTTTCCAACCTGACCCTATGCCAGCTAACACTGCCCGTCAGTCGAGGAAGGCGATGAATAGGCATGCATGCGTAACACATGTCCTAATCATCTCAGTCGATGTAACTTCACAGCCTCGTCGATTGATTTCCCCTCCTAACCTAACACTCGACGCCTAACCTCAATATTGCTCACCTTATTATACCACTTAATACACACGGGAGATACAACGCAGGCACCTATGATCAAAGCTAGTGGAGCTTTGCATGTCTTCCACTCTCAATGACGACGTCTAACAGCCATAAAGGAGGACGGAGCGAACAGCTGCGCTGAGCAGTACACCCGCCCTCTGGTAGATAGTCGGATATCACGTCTACGCCAGATACGGTGTAAACTGGCATATGCGAAACTATCCCTCTGTATCCGTGCTGAGATTTCATCAGTGATCAACCCACTGGCATTGACTGATGGTACTTCCTAAATAAGTGATGTGGTTAACACGCTCTACCACTGTACTCCCTATTTCTAAACTGGGAGTCAGTGTAGTCCAGTCCTGTGACATCATCTTACATTTGGCGGGAGCGAATCGCATGCCAAACATTTTCAGCATGTGATATCGGTAGCTCAAATTTAGCAAGCCGAGTATTGATATCAAGTGTGCATCGACCGGGTATTGAACCCCGGACCATGTGCATGGTCGACGAGTGTCTTAACCGCTGTGCCCTACGACGTATCTAGTTGAACAAAGAATATCACATGAAACCTTCAAGATTTTAGTAAATGTATTCCTATGCACTAAATTTCATGCCTTACACAGAGACAGGTAACAACATGAGTACTTTCATCATCGGGTTACTGGTGATTTGCAGGATCCGCGTTTCGTCCTAATTCAAACTCATCATCCGGAAATGCCTGCTTCCAGTAAGTACTGAAATTTCCGCTTGAATTCAGTATGCTTCGTATCAAACGCCAAAGTGTTACAAACACTAGGTCACTAAAAGTTTCTTCCGTTGGAGTTACTATGACTTCTTGTTGATTCATTTTAATTGGACTGTAATACTCACTCAATCTTTGCTGCCAACACGGTTGCTTGCTCCTACGATATGCTTGAAACGATAGGTGTTGGCTTCGTGTCTAAGGCGATGTGGGAGCGCAATTAACTTCACTATGATTAAATTTGTCTACATATCTTAGTTCTCACTGTCAATATATACTGATAAAAAATAGCGTCTAGATGACTTTGCTGCACATTAAAAAAATCCAGGTGACTTTGTGCTGGTGGTGGTGTGATACAATACAGACAATAAATGGATTCCAACGGAATATCATTCTCACAGTAAGAATCATTCTATGTGTGTGTCGGTATTAAGATCTGAATACTATTCCCACAGTTCAATAGAGTGCATTAGCAACAGAACACTTGAACATTCTATTCTATCTCATGTCTTTTAATACTGTAATCCAGAATCACACGCTGGCTCAGTGATTGGTTAAGCTGAATATATAAACAGTATAGATGTATGAATAGCTGTTTATAATTACTTAAATAAAAATATATATACCTTGGCTTCCGTGTCTTGCCTTCTCTGCGCTATTATGACGACTTATAACCTAAACTTTATTTGTTTCTGTGATGTATAAAAATTAATAAAGTTACACACAAAGGCAACAATGCTAAAAACAGCTGTTGTTCAGTAAAAGACACACCAAACAGCATTGACGTGTTAAAATAAAATAATCATAGTGAATTACATTTACATACACACATACATAAATACACATTGGACGACAGAATACAACAGGCGCATACAAGGGTCAACTAAGAGTGATGGTGTTTACGTTAAGACCAACATATGATCACATGACAATCACAGCAGACATGGTCGGGTCATATAGGTTGATTGATGTGCTGTCACATAATATCTGTTTGGCTATAGCGATTAGTAGAAACGCAGGTCGTGAAGTTACATAGATCGAGAGAGATGGTTAGGAGACATGTGTTACGCATACCACCGTGTAATTCTATGGTCCGGCTGCCTCGATGGACGGGCAATGTTAGTTGACTGACATACGATGGATGAGGCTGGAAAAGAGTTAGCTAGCTAGTGGTAGTCAAACGAAACATGTCCTGATCAGTCAATGAAATCCATGACAGTTGGTTAGTTGAAGCCAGCCAGTCACGTTGGGAGGTGTAAACTGTCTAACTGGCTGGTTGGGTTCCTCGGGATGGTAAGAACCAGTGGCTGCTGGAAACAATTGGTGACATAGCTCAAAACCAATCTCAACGGCTATCACAGATGCACGTTCGCCATCGATGATTGAGTTTCCTGCTCATTTCTAACAACGTTTCGGGCCAATGATTTGAGCTATCTCTCGGACTTCAACCACGGAATCGAGACGCACCTACCGGTGCTGACTTATAACACAACTATCCTCTAGCCCACAACGCCGCGCCATGGGTTAACTACCTCCCTGATTTTTTCCATCCCGTCCTAGGGCTAGCGAACAGAGACCTCTGGGATGACATTTGTAGCATACATTCAAGCCTTCGAAGACTCTGCTGGATTTTGCTAGTCTTCACCTTGCAGGCAGGACTATATCGTCTGCATATTCTAAGTCAACGAGATTATTCCCTGGTGGAAACAAGTCAACCTCTGAGTCACTGAAGTGAGTTAGGATTAAGTCCATTAGTACATCTATGATGAAACTGAGTAGAAATGGGGATAATGGGCATCCTTGACGGACACCACTAGTCGTCACCACTTCAGAGGACAACCCGCCGTAACCCCTCATTTGGCTGCATGAGTTCGAGTAGAGTGAGTGGCTTGATCAGTGCAATGTATTTTCTCGGAATTCCCTTTACAGTCAAGCATCGCCAGAGTATCTCTCGGTTGACAGAATCGAATGCCATCTTTAGGTCAACAAATATAAAGATTGTTGGGGGCCGGTATGAATGCCTATGTTCTAAAGTCTATCGAAGGGTGAAGAAATGACCAATACACCCTCTTCATGGTCTAAAGCCTGCCTGACTCTCTCGTGTTTGTGCCTCCTGAGCACCACTTAGTCTACGCATGATGATTATTGAGCCTAGGACTTTAGATACTATATTAATCAAGCTAATCCCTCTGTGATTATCACAGGAAGACTTGTCTCCCTTCTTATATATGGGGATAATCAGTGACTTACACCAACCCGACGGGAATTTCTCTGACTCCCAGACGCTGCCTAGTACCTACCTGTGTTAACGCAGAGAGTAAACTGTCTCCATCGTACCTAAATACCTCTGGAGTCATTCTGCATTAGGTCCTGCTGCTTTGCCTTGTTTCAGACAAGTGACAGCTTTAGTAGAACCTCAGTTTAGGGACAGAACAATCATGAATGAAAGGTCAATATTATAAAACCGATCCAATAGAAAGGATAATTTTTATAACATATGAGATAGTAAGTTAGTAAGTAATAGATGTTAACAGAAATTCAAAAAAATTACCCTATTTCTTACCTAAACTCAGAAAACATTCATCACAATTTCGACGTATTTTTACACCTAAGGATAAATAACCAGCAGCAAACCATGTAGCCATTTGTTGATCTGTAAACGGGCCTTGTATATGCTTCAATAAATCTACATAATACCATGTACGTGAAGAGTGAAATGGTTTAGGCGTTGTTGTGGTGCACACTTCTGTTGATGTAGTATTAGTAGTAGGAGTCATTGTCAACAAGTGTAAATGATCATTAGACGTTGTTGAGGTAATCTGGTCGACAGGAGAATTATTATCAAGAAATTCTTCAGCTTGTAGCGTTCCCATTGATAATGATGATGGTGATGATAATTTTTCAGTATTTTCATGAACTGGAAGTTCAAATCCAGGCGGTGGATCAATAGAAAATGACTTGGAATAAGCTCTGGTACTTTTTGTTTCCTAAAATATTATTTTATAAAATATAAAAATGGGAGAAAAACAATGAAGCGGACACACAAAACGAAAACTACGTGTTTAATAATAAAATGCTACATCTTTAAGAAATGCATCAGTGGTTTAGCGGTAGAACGCTCGCCAGCCAACCGCGCCCCTCATGTGGTTCGGGGTTCGACCCTCGGCCACAGACGCACTCCTGAACCTCGCTAGGCCGGTAAAGAGGGAAGGCTGTGGTTAGGGGAGGGGGAAGGCATGGGGCTAGCACAACTTCACCCCGCAAAAATATAAACCACCACTGTTGCCGAAACTTCAAAGCTCTAACCTGATGCTCTATATTCCACTTGAAACGTAAAGGAATATGAAAAAAAACATCTTTAAGAATCAGGAGTAATCTGTATGGATTGTGTTACGTAATGAATGACGATGTCAAGCGTAGGAGATCGGGAAAGCAAGACAATATGAAAATTTGCTGCAATGAGCATATAAATAACAAGATTCGAACCTTCAAACACTGTGCGTCGGTGGCACAGTGGTTAGGACTCTCGCCGACCATCCACATGGTCCCCGGGTTCGATCCCCTGTCGACGCACACCTGATATCTATGGTCAGCCTGCAATATATATATATATATATATATATATATATATATATATATGAAACTAATACAGAGTGAAGAGGTGAGGAAATAAACTCCTTAGGTCAAGTTCAAAGGTCACACTGAAAGCCAAAATAACAATGAAGATCACCACAAACCAAATATGAGAGATAATTGTACATCTAACATGGCTGGTATCAAAACAAAATTTACCAAATAAGGTTTATTAGCGTGCTAACGAATTGTTTTTGAACACATAAAGATAGTTTAAACTTCCTAATTACCAGCTAGGGGTTCCACAAAACTTTAGGATACGCCCCAAACACGTTTTATAGATAGGTTTAAAAGATGTGTAAACGTCAATTTTGTGTCCTGTCTCTATAATGTGTTTCACAATAGAGCAGCTAGGTCTCCTCTTCTCACCATTAATAGGTTCTGGAGATTCTGTTTGCTTCTGAAGCCATTTAAGAATATGCTGTGAAGCCAGTACTTACTTTCAGTGATTGATGAGTCCTCCTTATTTATGTGTGGCCACACGTACATTCAAAATTAGTAAATACACTGGGATGTGACATCATTTTTCGCATATTCTAAGGGTTTAGATGGATGGATATATTGGCTTCACATTCTCAATTATTACGATATTAGCTGCATAAAAAGTCTTTTTAACCATAGCAGCGTTCAATCTCTGTCTAGTTGTCAAGCAGCTGTGATCTCCCAATATAGGGTAGCTTGATGTACACGTCTTTCTTTAGAGGCAAGTTTGAGAAGTGGATCTTAGTGTTCTATCTACTTCATTCTTCCTGATGAACTTGTTTGGATAATTATTAACAACAACAACAACAAGAGTTTGAGTCAACTTTCTTTCTCCACTTCTCAACTTTCCCCATGTTATCATTTCCCGAATATTCATATCGTTACAACTGTCTTCAGTGAATAAGGTTCAAACCTTAGGAATCAAACCCCAGTTTTAAAGGATAATAATAATGAGTTGGCGATAAGGTGAGCAATATTGAGGTTGGGCGTCGAGTGCTAGGTGAGTAAAGAGGGAAAATCAATCGACGAGGCTGTGAAGCTACATCGACTGAGATGGTTAGGACATGCGTTACGGATGCCTAGTCATCGCCTTCCTCGACTGACGGGCAATGTTAGCTGACATAAGGTCAGGTTGGAAAATAGCTAGAGGTGGTCAGACCAAAACATGTCACCAGTCAATGAAATCTACAACAGTTAGTTTAAGCCAGCCAGCCACGTAGGAAGGTGCAGACTTCTTGAATGGTTGGGGTCCTCGGGACAGTAAAAATAAATGGAGGCTGGAAATAATTGGTGATATGGCCCAAAATCTTCGATGTCAAAGGCTGTTGCAGATGCATCCACTCCTTGTGACTTATGATTTCCAATGAAACTATATTGTTCCTTGTTATTACTATTTCTTAGTCTCACACCTCTGTTTACTGTCTCTATTAAGCATTTCTTCTACTTTCTTCTCTTGCTTTATGTGCCACATGGAGTGTGACGACTCGAACTGTCGCACATCAGTGCAAAGTTCTATGTCGAAAACAAACAGACAGACAGTCGACGATATTAAGAAATAAGTGTGTGTCTAGCTAGATTTTCACACCTACAACAAAATCCCAATAATAAATATATCCAAATTCCAGTTTATTCATAATCTTATGCGTGTTTGGAATGCCTCAGTAACAATGCCTCTCATACTATGGGGCCTATTCTTATCCTTCTGTCTATACTGATAGCAACAGTCTACTACCAGGGTTGATTTGAGTCTTTTCTAGGTCCTCATCAGAGGAGGCGACCAAGTCCCCTGTTTGTATATAGAAGTTCTCGAACTGTACTGTACATCGGTGTCAATCTGACTAATCTCCGTACGGAAATCGCTTCAAGTTGTTGCGTCAGAGGATATGAGACTACACAATTTATGGAATATGTCGATGAAATCACCGAATCTCTTTCCTCGAAAAAACGAACACAACTGATGAAAGGCTTAGAAAGTCGAACTCCCGAATGTAGATTTCTTGCTAATCCAGAAAGGTACGTTCTATAACTTCTCTAGCGTGACTGCTGACAAACTACAACTTGAAGTGTTATCTCTAGGATCCAGGTTTTGCTATTTTCGTACGGAGATTAGTCAGATTGACACCAATGTACAGTACACAGTTCGAGAACCTCTATATACAAACAGGAGACACTTGGTCGCCTCCTCTGATGAGGACCTATAGAAAGATTCAAATGTCTCATACATATTTAGCCATAAAAATACTCTTCATGCATAAATGTGATTTAGAAGAGAAGAATTATACGCAGTCAGAGTTTACAGCCGTTATATGATAAAAAACAAAAGTACATACTATGTATGCTAATGACCAATCATATTCAAATAGGTCAAGTAGTCAGTCCATGGTAGGTGAAGGTTGAAGTCTATTGTTTGTTTGTTTGTTTTTTATACACATAGTTTAGGACGCATGTGACTAGTCCAAAGTGCTTCCCATCAACTTAAATAACCAACCTTGAAATAGAGTTATGTGATGAAATAAATAATTGTGAAACATAAGTAAAAGAAATTGAAAAGAAATTTCTTCGCTGAACAAAAACTGTGTTTTTACTTATGAATAAATGGATATTTTTCGAGATTTAAAGGCGTGCAAGGACCGATTGACAGTAAAGGGACTTAGTGAGTTTCTACGAAATTGTGAAACAGTCATTAATATTGATTTTGTGACCTGACATTAATAAATGTTTTGCAGTGGGTAGTGATGATGATGATGATGGATTTCTATTCAGATTAATAATCGCATTGGGGTTTTCTATGTATCTTAATAACCATTTTTCGACGAAATTGGAACATTCTATCCGTGCTACACCTGTATAAGTGTCACCGCAACTGCATGTGAACTTGCAGATACAGTTTGAAAAATAGAGTCTACAGAATTTCGTCCTTTATAGTCGTAGGTACAGGGATCAAAAATGTTCGAGATGTGGCGTATAGAATGTGCGCTTGATGACTGACCGAAGTCTTTGGGCTGTCAGTTTGCATAATCTGGTAACCCTTAAGTGGTAGGTCAATAAGGATAGCTTTCTTTGGTACGGAAGCTGTCTTTACTAGATGGGGTGTATCCTTCCTGTGACAAATGATAAAGTTTTCTCGATAACTTTTAGCTAATAAAACTGAATGTATGCCTCGAAGCACATCCATAAAAGTGTCGCTCGTACATATTTTGCGGGCCCTTGAAAACAAACATTTCACTTGGCAACGTCTATACTGGATAGCAAAAAAAAAGCTGGTGAAATGAAGATATTGCCCACCTTCATGTCTACTTACAAAATATAAATCGCTTAATCATTTCACCGGCTCTCCTAGTCATTGAAAGAAACCGAAGTTGGTTATTCGATTCGAACTTGGAAGTCACTCGGACAATTGAATGAATATGATTAAATAGAGTGACCAATTTTTCAATAGACTTAATATTATTATCAATAATAATGAGTGTATCATCCACATAACGTTTGTTTCTCCAGTTGAGACACGAATATATCTGCTAACAAAGGCCCAAGAAAGCTCCCCAACGCAACACCATCGATTTGTTTGTATGCCTTCTCTTGGAAAGTGAATCATGTTTTCTCTACATGTCAAGCTAATGTCTCTAATGTAAGTGACAGGAATGGGTAATTGTGTTCCATTACTTGCGATGTAATCGCAAAATGAAATCAACAGTCTCGTGAAGTGGAACATTGGTGAATAAAGATTCCACTTCGATTAAGCACATATTCTTAATGTACAGTGTCTATTATAAATTACTTAAAATAATCAATATGACTCGTTGCACAAGAGGCGGCGTTTGAAACTATGGGAACTGGGTTCGAGTCTCAGTGGGAATATCACCACTCGCTGGGGAATGCAGGTACATCCAGTGACGAGTCCTAAATAGGACGAAATGCGCTTTATCCTGGATTCCACTGCTAGTCACCATCCAACAATTAACCTCTAATCCCAACGTGTTTAAGAAAAACCAGAACAAGATCTGTTTTCTGAACGTTTCGCTGTGTAAGCTACAGCTGCTTCTTCAGCAGAATTATTCGGATGTTATTAACTAACATCAAAATATATAGTCAAAATTTTTCTACATACATTGAAGTCAGTTCATTTGAAGGTCACTTGTCGATAGACATTTGTACCAATAGAAATATGTAAGCCATCATCATATTATTTGTAATGACTAATGTCAAATTGTTATTGTGTTTATTTTCCTATAGTTGAATTATAAGGATTAGTTTTGTATGAGGGTGTGTGAGCGTATGTTATTTGTCAAATGGAAAAGACGTCAATTCACGTGTGATAAACATGACAATAGCTTTCATAAAGGTCATTGAGGTCTTTGTTGTTTTTTCATCT